TTATTTTCCTTTTGCGGAAATTTAGATTACAATGTATAATTTTGGTCCCTACATCATGCATTTTTTCTCAAGTAATTTACTTTTGGTGAGATAACTAAAGTTTAGTTCATTTTACCTTGGCTGTGGACTGATTCATTATTAGTTGTTACAAAGCATGCACAAGACGGCGGGTAGACAAACAAACACGAAACAATTATACAAACAAACATGAACCCGCAACAAATCAGCGCCCTGGCCAAAAATTCATCCAGTTTAATTTAGTCCGAAATTACGGAAACGTCAACGGGAGCACTGAAATATCTGTTTAATATGGGCTCTTCTCAGCCATATTTACTAGTAATCTGTTGATGAGCAATAAACTACCTTATTCTCAATCAAAACCACTATGCAAATGTAGTGGTAAAACTGCTCAACCGACCGAGAGCAGAGATTTTCTTAATTAATTCAGTACTTATTTTTTTATTAAACAATATCCAATTCAATAATCCGTTAGTTTATTAAACAGTGTGAATGTAATATTCTGCCACCACCCTTCCCATTTAATAGCTACATTTAGTTCTTGAGCTTATGGTGTGATTAACAGAAAATACAAGTCTGTGTTCTTAAACATTCCTCGTGTGCCGTTCACCACAGGGGGGAGGGGAATTCGCCCTCCCTCGTGCAGGCTTGAACAGACACCCGAAAACGGATTGGTCTGATTTAACCCGTTGAAATCTCCAGAATTCGGCAATTTGTTTCAATTACAAATCCTCACATTGCTTTTTGAAACAGAGGTTCCACCTTGCTGATGCTTTCCTTAAGGTCTCTCCGAATATTTGCAGTGTGTGATTGTCCAGTAATTTAATTCTAGAAAACACACACAGCGGAAATCGTTAAAAGTTGACGTTCCGAGGTTATTTATTAGCCCCAAATATTCTTATTGTTTTATACATGAGCTGTGCTTGCTTTTGTTGGCACTTGCCCCAGCAACAATCACAGGAAAAACCGGCCAGGATAGAATCCCCTAGACACCGATTCCTCAGGTTATGATTAAGCCTTCAAATGTACAGAGTGAAGAGACCAAAACAAATTGCACTCGCGCAGTTTCACAAGTAATTTTGATACCGTCAATCACAGAGTCTGGTAAGGCAGTTGTTCAAATAGATTTGAAAAAAAGCACTTACCAGTCTTCTGAAGAAATCTCGGTATCCTGTTCGTAGACGCCAACTGTGAAGATAAACTTCTGTTGTTGCAATGTTGAGGTAGAATGAAGGAGTCTGGAACCGTCATTAGCCAAAGCACTGAGAGTTTTATTGATCACAGTACATTAATACGGCCGGGGAGATCACTTAGTTTCACACTGTCCCGTGCTCCACCATCATGATCTCTGCCCCAAAAGACACAAAACATCTAACAACACGAGGAGAGGCGGGCCCCCAGAAGCCCGCGTTTACCTAATTAATAGCAGATGGGAGACAATAGTCTACTTGTCTCAAAGAGATGCAGACAAGCCTCAACCCTCCCCCATGGATATAGGAGAAGCGTTTGACCTGTGACCTCAACTTACAGAGGAGTCTTTGACTGATAAGTCAAACACATGTTTGCAGTATCACAGAATCTAAGAAACTATAGGAAACTCTATAAACAGATCAGATTAAAATATTCTCTTACAAACATCACTAGGCGAATTGCAAACCACGCCCCGTAAAACTCCGAAAAGTATTGTGAAGCCGCCATTGCATTTCCTCGCATTAGATGTGTCAGCGCTTCTGGTGATTTACTCGGAAGATGCGACCCAGCAGCTTCTACTGAAGCCAGTCCCCAACTCCAAAGTTTACGAGCGTTGTTCGGTAAAGACACGCGCACAGCTCTTATGAGGTATCTGAACAGCGTGTAAATTGACAATAAAGCGGATATTTTGTACAGTGCTTTTGGTTCTCCCTTTTATTTAGCACAGTCAAGACAGGCAAAATTACAATAGTGCAATAGTAACAATAACGGCATCACGCTGTCCCAGGTGTGTCGTATGTATCGTAAATAGGCTCAGCAGCAGACACACCTTAGTGCAAAGATAAATAGCAGATAAACCACTACAAAGTAAGCCTGCCAGTAAACCCAAAGCAGAAGAAGAAGTGACGTCAGCGGCTTCATTTGCCTAATCCTCCCTCAGGGACTTATTCCGGTGAGAACGCTATCTACTAGGAACGTTTGAGGGATTAAAGAGTTCGGGGGGGAACAAGTACCGGCTAAGTACTTGGTGTGAAAGCGGCTAATAGGCGCTTTCACACCGGAGTACTTTTCCCCCCGAACTAGGCCGATAGGGTGAGGGGAGATTTGGGCTGCAGCCACACGAGGACAAAAACGGCCGTTTGCGTTACTGTTTAGTGTCATATTGACCATTCGGCCACACGAGGATGACCGCATACGGCACTAAACGACTGAGGAAACGATAACGGGTCCCAAGGTGGATAGAACGGCATACGCAACGCTCTGGGGGGTCAAACAGCTCCGTGTGTGCGCCCAATACGATCATTTTCTGATAATGATTGCGCAATAGCCCCGCCTATCCCCACCTCTGCTGCTCACCTCCGCGTACCCCGTGCCATTGCTGATGTGTTTTGCCACCAACAACAACAACAATGGCGGATCGCAGAGTTGCTATCGTGCTCCGGACGCTACTGACCATGCTACAGTTCTTTGTGCAACATCTACAGCAGACTTACACATCCGGGGGGATCTTACTCGCTGCTTTTGTGGATATGTACTGCAGCTTCAGCGATCATTTTCTGATAATGATTGCGCAATAGCCCCGCCTCTCCCCACCTCTGCTGCTCACCCCCGCGTCAAAGTAAACTGCACACTGAATTCAGATTATTTATCTTTCTCTCGATATGGACATAAACGCGAGAGAAGTCTAATCTGACAGGACGGAGACACCTCTCAAACTACCTAAACTAGTTATAAATATGTTTATTTTTACTGTCGGCCGGGTCACTCATTACTGGATCAGCTGCTGCATGAGACAGACACTGACGCTGTCCAAAGAGAGGGAGGAAAAAGAGAGGCTCCGTGTATTTTTATTATTATATTATATAGAGTCGTTATTCATTTGTTTTAAAGCTCAATAAATAACAAAGAAGACCTTTGACCGGCACTTTTATAATTTTGTCGGAAGGTTTAAACTTTAATACACGTTGACTGGCGAAAAACTCTGCCCGGTTCCCTCGGCCCCCACCGCGGAGAATAAACAGAAGGGCAACCATGACAACCATGCTTCTTCGCTGCTTTTGTGGAGGAAGTTACAGCGCCACGTACAGGCTCCTGCCTATGTACTGCAGCTTCTCCAGCTGTTGGAGCTAAATGGAGCGGTCTCGTGTGGACAGACACTATCCGGATAACTATTGCGTGTGGACGGAAGCTTGTTTGCGTTTGCGTTAATCCTATGCGTTTAGCCGTTTTCGTCCTCGTGTGGCCGGGGTCTTGGTTTCACACCAAAAAGGATCTGGGCCTAGTCCCTAGTTTGCGCGAATCAGAGTTTCCGTTAGCCGGTGATTACCGGACTTTGACCGGTAAAATATGCTGAAAACCGGCAAATCTAAATCTCTCCGGTCAAAATGTCCGGTCAAAATTATTTCCCCTTAGCGCAATACCGCATCAGTTGCACCACTTATGTGACAGACAAGAATAGTATGTGACAGACAAGAAGAGTATGTGACAGACAAGAATAGTCAATTATAATGTCTAACACTTAAAGGTGGGGTAGGTAAGTTTAAGAAACCGGCTCGAGATACACTTGTTGTTATATTCCATGGAATGCTCTTAACATCCCGATAGCAATGAATATCTGAAGTGCTTTGACAAAAAATCCATAAAATAATGTCATCTGTGGAAGCTGTGGCGCTGTAAAAAGCACGACCAATCATCTGAGCCGGCCCGGCTAAAGTAACTGGATGGCCTACCTGCCTGTCAGCCTTCCATCTGGGCACAAACTTATCTCGTGCCCTCATTGGTGCTGACGAGTCGACACGCAGCTCTGCATGATCACATGCAGCGGTGAGCGGAGCAAAACACACACTTCAGGTTAGAATATCACACGTAGCTATTTTAATTAGGCTACCTCTCAAACTACCTAAACTAGTTATAGATATGTTTGTTTTATGTCGGTTCACTCATTACTGGATCCGCGAGCTGCATGATACTGACGGGCTGTCAGGAGAGGGAGCGCTCCGTTTATTCCCGTGTTATTATAAGTTACTGTACTTTTGAATAATGTAGTCGAATGTTGAAAGATTAGTTTAATATAATTTTTTTATTTAGCTAGGAAATTCTGAAACGCTCACGTTTGCCTGTGTGCTCGCTCAAGTTGGCACAGCATTACAAATGTGCCACAAAACCAACCAATGGATGTATAATAAGACCGTCAACAGCCTGATGGCAACCTAAAACCCCTCTCTTTCCATATCTCAAATCGAAGACGAAAACAGCCAATCAGAACCCGGTTTCTCTGAAGTCTGGCACCGCCCTTTATTTTAACAATTCCCAATTTTATGTGAGTGCGCACACAGCCTGAAGAGGAAAGCCCAAATTCACAAAGAGAGTTGATAACCAGCTTTGTAGAACCCGTTATCTCATCACGAGTTTTAGTTTTGTCGAGCCAGCTAAGTCAAAGAAACCCTTAATCTGTTAAATTTGCTTCCTAGTATACCCCCCCTGAATCTTAATTACAGAATGAACGGAGATCCATTAGGTGGTATATACACTGGGGAACTGTCAGTGGACCTGAGACATTATATACAAAGTTATGTATTGTGGTTGAAATGGAGCCTTTCAGAACACCTAATAGTGAGCAGTTTATGTACAGTAGGGCTATACCAAAAAATGTTAAGCTTAATTGAAGACATTTGATTCAACTTAAGGGAGAACAGATCCTGAATAGAAGCTTTAAATGTAAAAAAAAAAATTGTCAGCACAGCCCTGAATTCTTCCTATCAAACCATCAGTGTGTTCATGTCATTCTCCAGAGGCCAGTGGAGGAGCATGTCCTGTGGTAGCCTCCTACATACTCCACAACTCTCTGGCGTACGGAGCCGACTGGTCCCACCTGTCCCTGGAGGAAGCGGCCCCATGCTCCAATGTCGCTGCAGAACCCAAGGAAAGCCTCACAGAGAGCGGAGGGCACTTGAGGATTCAGTATGAATCTCCCACAGCCAGCTTTGATACTTCCTTGGAGGACGATGCAGGACGATACATCCCAGAGAGCATTGCAGCGCCCACTGTCCTGCCTGCTGCAGCCCCTGTCTTCAGCTCTAAAGAGGACGCCCCTTCACTGTCCTGTCTGCTGGCCAGCTGCTCTTTCTATGACCACATGCTCCATGTGTGGCGCTGGGACTGGACTCCAGAGGAGGCTCAACAGGAACCAGAGCAATGCTGACCCGGCTGGAGCTCTGGGTGCATTGACACTAAAGAAATATCTTCTACTTATGTACCTAAGTAATGCAGGATGCACAGCCCCACTACATCACACAATTTAACATATCAAGGATAAGTAAACCCTGTATTCAAGACACTTGATTGTTATAATAAAACTTTGATTTAAACAAATTGCTTATAATCCCTATAAATGCAGCTATTCATTATGGAAAAGAAATGTTTGCAAAAACACCCTGAAGACTAGCATGAAAAGTAATGTGAGGCATCTGCTGCTTCCCAGAAATCTGAGCTGGTGATTTTTAAAACTATGACCAGGGGCCTCATTTATAAAGGGATATACGCTCAAAAAATGGCGTACGCCAGTTTCTACGCAATGTTTGCGATTTATAAAATACTAACTTGACGGGAAAACGTGCGGTCCTCCACGCAAACTCTAACCCATGCGTACGCACTAAGCACACAAACGGGAGAGACGAGAAACTGCGACACCGTTGGCAGAAGGAAGAATGGAGAGAAATATGTGGAAATAATACCATAAATAACTTGGGCGTAGGAAGCATCCTCAATGTGGGTGAGACAATTTAACAGGGGGTGTGGGCAGGTGGTGGACATCACCTCCTCTAGGGGGGTCCGGGGGCATGCTCCCCCGGGAATTTTTTTTTAAATGTTGAAGTTAAATGCATCAATCTGGTGCACTTTGAGAGCAAAATTAGGGACTAAATCTATGGATACATCTCTCAACAGCCATATGAAACAGAACTGTAAACAGATTTACTTTTTCTTTCAACATTTATTTGAACAGCAAGTGGAGGCAAAAGTGACTGCACCCAACACAATAAACCTGCTAGCTAACTAGCCTAAACTCAGTAACAGAATGTGGGCAACACGTTCTTCTCCACAGCCGCGCGACCTCTGAGTCAGACGTCACTTCCCCCTTTTCTATCCTACGGGTACAGCCACTCCCAGGTAATTCACGTAAGCAAAAAAAAAAGGGAGTGGCCGGAACACTTACAAATGTGGGCCGGTAGGATTTAGGCAAAAAAATATATATACATTTTGTTTATTTTTTAATTATTTTTTGTTGGCCCTCCAGCCCACGCAAAGCACCGGCCTATCGGGAAAACTCCCGGTATTCCCAATGGCCAGTCCATAGCCCAAAAAAGCTGCGCCGCATTTCGAGTTGATTGTGATTTATAAAGGGAAACCGGCGTAGGACGTGCGTGCGCAGTGTTTTACAAATCGGAATATTTATGTGCGTATTTATTTGCTTTGTCCTACACACGCCACCTTCCCACGTGAATCCTACACACAGTTTTATAAATGAGGCCCCAGGGCCGGCCTGTGGCATAAACAGTATTTAGCAAATGCTAAGGGAGCATCCATCCACCAGGGACCGCGGTGAATTTAGTTTTAGGTTGGATATTCGACGGACATTCGCGGACCCACCAGCAGCGTCAGTTTAATGGGGAGATCTTCTCCGCGAAACGAGGCTTTCACTTAGGGACCATCAACAAATGACTTTTACAATTAAACAAGAAAAATGTTCTTTTTAATAAATCGACAGTGACACTGCGTTCGCCCCCCACCCATTTCTCTTTTTTTTTTCAACGTCTCATGAGTAAGGTGCAGTACCGGAGTCCAACAGAGAGGCAGCAGCTGCGGGACAGTAGACTGCGTACTGCGAAACCTTCCCTGCCTTGAAGAAGAAGAAGTGATCCTTCGTTGTGAAGAGTCTGCGCCACAGCAGTAGCCCCTCTGCTACAGGGGTTGCGTTCCGATAATCCAAAAATCAGCTCCTAAATTCTAACCCTATCTCCTATTCCTTGACCTCTGAGTGAAACGTCACGGGGTTAAAGGATAGTGGATAGGAGAATTCAAAAGGACTTAGGAGAAGAGACCGCGGTACTTTAGAGAATCCGACTGCACTTTCACTATCCGACGTGTTTATGATGCTCCAGCGGACGTCATGAATGTGCGTCTGCTGCTGTGGGGAAACTATGGAAACTACAGTTTTCTATACAGCGGACTACAACATGGATGTTTAATAAGAACGAGGGACTACTGTAAACTCATCTAGAGACTCTGCACCGTGCTCTGATGCTGTTGCTTTATGCTTTATGAACGGGGACAACAGAGAAACATATTCTTCATGACCAAAGTTGGAATTGAAATAAAAAAGGAAAGTGAAACTTATGCTCATCACCCTCTCCCTCCGGTCCACATCAATACAAATGATCCCAATACGTATGATTGTATGAACTATGAAAAGATCTTAAAATCAATACAGATGTATTTATTATAAACGTTAGTCCTTAACATCTATCACTGTGTATATCACCATTCAAACATCTTTTAAAAGTTGAACAAACCCCACACAGCTCAGTAAAGACTGTGAGATGTTGACTTTATTTGATCATTTCAGTAAAAACTAACGTTCATATTTATCTTTTTGATTATAATACTGATGAACGTTCAGAAAAAAGCACTTGGGCAACTTACCACATACGTTTTAAAATGCTTAATAAGTACCGTAACTTTCATGATATAATTTCTCGGTCATAATCGGTTGTTTCCGTGAACGGCCGACTGTTGTGATGGCAAATGTTGCGGCTGCAATGCATTGTGGGGCAGCATTTTCTCCTCTCCTTTCGGTTAGGGAGGTCCAGTGGTTCCTAAGCTAAAGGAGGTTATAAAGGAAGTTTGAAACCTCCTTTCCTTTCATTTGGAGAATTGGAACGGCACTTATCATGGCTGCCACTGAGGGACTTCCGGGTCATTTTACTCCGTTAGGAAGGTTTCTAAGCTAAATGGACTATTGGAACGCAACCAGGGTCCAACCAAGGGGCAAACTCTGGGGAATAGCCGGTGTCGGGAGAAGCCCATGGATGTATAATAAGAACTGGATACAGCGTGGGAGGCGGGGCCTCATTCATTCCTACGAGAGTTGCTCATTAGCGCATGATGACAAAATGGCCCAACTTTTGAGAGAGCGAAACGTCACAGATTACCCGGCATGCCTGAGAAGTACCCGTATGTGCACTCATAGAGCATGCGCAACTTTAACCACGCCGCCCAAAAGGCTTGTTCACATTAAGCACGTGAATTTGCGTACACGTAACAGCACCGCGCGTTCATGACAGCATGGTACTGGATTTACATTAACGAGGCGGCAGTTAGCAGCTAGCGGCTTGCTAGTAAATTATGCTAAATTACACATCAATCGTTATGTACTTTTATATTACGCGGACATCAGGATCTAGTGATATCCAAGCAACAGAGCTTCATTTAGCATGATACTTGTGTGGGTTGTACATGAAACCACTTGGTAATATATACAAATGTATATGTTGAAGCCTGTTATGATCAATTGTGAGTTAAAACTTTATCTAAAAAGTAAAGCTGATGATGGATTACTGTGGTGGAGTTAAAATAACAATAGCCTATTTCTTTTTGAAATGTGATGGAGTAAAAGATAGTAACTGTGATTATTCATGTTAAGTAGCCCACAAGTAACTAAAACAATTGCAAGTGCAATAAGAAGCTACAGGAACGTTAATCTACGTCGGTAATATTAACTTTGTTTAATACAACATTTACGGTACAATATTTAAATCATACATCCCATGTAGTATAATGTTTTACAAATGATGAATTACAGCAAACATGTGCAATATATCCATTATTACAGCTCCGTGGGCTGGCAGTAAGGCGATATGGTCCGTTGTTATTGTGCATCCATGGGTAAAGAGAAACATGAACGTGCCGGGCGGCGCGGTCCCGTGGGTTAGATGCGCGTTCATAATGCCGAGGGAAATAACTCTCAGAATAACGTTATTAGCACATTTTTACAACTTGAGGAACGAATGTTTTTAATAAGAGCTATACAAGTGTTCATACTGGGTAGTTTATTTAGTTTAAAAAAAATTATCCAACGAGTTACAGACCACTCTTTCCCAATGTAAGTCAATGGGAAAAAGTGTTTCCGGGCCCAGCAACCTAAAGGAAGTGTAGTACCGCCGTTTGACCAGCACGAATATTCTCATCAGACTCCGGCGCACTTCCTGGGGGCTTGGAGAAGCCCCTCACTGCAGTGCGCAGTACCTCAAGATGGGCGGGAGCTCAACATGGGCGGAGCCTCAACGCCCCTCCTTCTCAACCTTTGAGGCACGTGACGGGACGGCCCCACCTTCTCAACCTTTGAGGCACGTGACGAGCTTCACAGATGACGCGTTGCATCCTGTTTCCGGGGTAGTAGTTCTGTTCTGTTAATCATAGCGTCAGAGTATTAACTATTTTAACATATTATATCTTATATTATTAATATATATATATATATATATATATATATATATATATATATATATATATATATATATATATATATATATATATATATATATATATATATATATATATATATATATATAATGATACCTTGAGGTCTGTGATGATGGCGAGTGATCTGTCGCCATGGCAACGGCATTTAAAAATGTAAAACTCAAATTAAACACATTAACAGCCTTCAAAGCATATTTTAATGTCTATTTGCATGTTAATTGCATCAATTATTTCAGTTATGACTTCAAGAAAGGGCCTTCATTTGTTTTTTAACATACACCTTTTTCATTTTCATTTAATTTTAATTTCAGAGGCAATATTGTATATTTACTCACTTTTTACTGAAAAACATGTGATATAAATGAAATCATATCACATTATTTCCTACCAGTATTTTAAAAAGTATATTAAAAAAGTGCCATCGTATTGACAAATTGATAGAATTGACAGGATAATATCGATGGTAATATAATACTGTGAACAGAGCCATTCCGCATGTACTTCTACTTTTGACACTTCGAGTACATTTAGCTGATAATACTTATTCTCTTTTACTTAAGAAACACTTTGAATTCAGGACTTTCAATTTGATTGAACACAGAAAGCAACAGACAAGACAGGACAAAATAATACACAGACAGATCGTGACAACTAATACATTTTGAGGCATTAGTGAACCCCCCAGCAGCACTCACTCATGACCCCATCTCAAATGATGGCCTGCTTCTTTTGTGGAACCTCACAACCTCTTCATCCTGAAATATATTTGACAAAGAGAGGTTAAATGTTTAACACTCACACTGGTTCAAGACTTTATCATTTGTGATTCAACAACTTCTACCTGCATTGCCTTTTCCTCCCGTCGCCTCTTGCAGTCTTGCGACCTCGCTTGTTCAGACCTTGGTGAATGAAAGACAAACATTAAAAACATTCATTAAAAATGATATAGTCAGGTTACAGTGTAAGAAATAGTCTCAAGAATGCAAATGTAAATTGTAAAATTAAAGAAACCTACGGCATGGGAACGTTTTTCAGGAGAACTAGGGTTACCACCAGTGCTTAATTTGCTGCATGTTTGTCTTGGAATATAAAAAGCACACAACCAGATGGGTCAACAACACATGTCCTGACAAGTCTTGTATATCAATGAAAAATATCAATGAAAAACTGAAATATGAAACCCTTATTTCTACATACCTCATTGAAATCAAATTGGGCTCTTGCCACAATGTAAAATGCGTACTGTAAATAAAGAAATAGTATATTATGTTAGGTTGTTGTGATGCTATGGTGTTCATTGACAAATAATATTCCTCCGTGAATGTTGTTTTGGATATAAATAAATTACAGCATGTCTCAAACTATGAGCAATAATGGAGTGCAAAGCATGCTGAAAGCAGTATACATTTGTATACATTATTATAAACAGAAAAATAGGACTACTATGTTTACTGTATATCCAGTATCTTACCATCAAAAACAAACACCCCACAGTTGTTCGAGAACCCTTGTCTTGGTAGGCCCTGTAGTGTGAAAAGTCATGTGTCAAAAATGACAATTACATCATACTCTTCAGTAGAATAATTTTAACAAATCTAACCTGGACATCATCCACACCAAGACTTGCCCAAGGCCCAGGGCACAAGATCTGAGCAAGGTTTATGTGAACACAATGCATGTGAAAGTTAAGAATAAGTACAATTTAATTCAACTTTATAAGTACTCGAAAATCAGGCAGAAAATCTTTGAACACTGTTGGAACAGGAACAAACTTGAACTTCCAAAAAAAAAGTCATTAAGGGGTCAAACAGAACAGCCCGCTGTCAAGTGGCATCTATGGTTCTGTTCAATGCCTTTTATTTAATACAATGCATCCCATGTTAGCTCAAATAACACAGAGCCATAGATTAAAAAAAGATAGACAAGTGGTCTGAAACAGAACTACCACTGTCCGGATGTGATGGAACTGTGCGCCAAAAGACCTGAATGATTTGGTGCGACTATCATCTCTCCAGCCAGCGCCACGGAGGGGATCTAGAAAGAAAATCTCCCTAGCTTGTGGCCTCAGTATCTGTTAATATCACACGTTCCAATATCAACAGGTATACTTTGACATGCAAACGTTATATTTAGGGCCGGGACTCGATTAAAAAAAATAATCTAATTAATTAGAGGCTTTGTAATTAATTAATCGAAATTAATCGCATTTTTAATCACATATAAATATTTGACCTGAGAACAGTGAGAAGCAATTTTTTTCACATGGATTTTAGTATACCATTAGGCGCATTCACACCGCAGTACTTTTCCCACAAAGGTTCATGAGAATTTAGTTCATGAGAACTCTTTGAACCTGGGGGAGGATTAGGCAAATGAAGCCGCTGACGTCACTTCTTCTTCTTCTTCTGCTTTGGGTTTACTGGCAGGCCGCAAACGGCGTATACTGCCGCCCAAAGTCCCCGGAGTTGGGGCCTGTAAATCGCCAGAACGCCGACACCTCCTCATCTCCACCGCTCCCATGTTTTATTTTGTGTTGCCATAAATTAGTCTCTCTGCGTTTCTGCGCTGGGCTAATGCTAATGCGAGGATAATAAAATGGCGGCTTCACAAAACTTTTTGGGAGTTTTACGGGGCGTGGTTTGCAATCCGCCCAGCCAATCAGACATATAGCTCTTTTCTCACAAGAGAGCCGTACGAAAGTCCCTGCTCTCTAGCAGCTCTCTGCTCTCTAGCAGGGACTCTCGTGGGGGTAAAAAGGTTCTCATGAACTCATTTTAGTACCGGCTCTTTTTGGTGTGAACGCGATAAAAGAGGCTAACGTCCACGCTAGCTTCCACGCTAGCTGCTATATGTTTTTGCATTGAGGTGATACTTGAGGCTTGATGTGCTGCGGTGATATGCGAATTCCTTTTTGCATAATTTGCACACAACCGTGCTCTTATCGACGCTTCCATCCGTCCGTTTTTTAAAACAACATTTCCCACTGTTGTTCACTGTGGTTTGTTGTTGTCTGAAGTCATGAACGTTAGTTGGTGCTCCAGTATAATCGGTACGCCTGAAACTCATCCAGTGAGAAACGTTCCGCGGTGCAAAAATAAGTGCGATTAAAATGCGTTAATTTTTGTGTAATTAATTAATCTTAATTAACGGGTTAAAGTCCCGGCCCTAGTTATATTATAAAGTTGTAGGATCTGTATTATACAACTAAATGAAGCGTTGAATTGAAAGATAGAAACACTATTTGCGGCATGGCAAACTTCATTGTACAGTAAACAAACAATAGCAAAGACTGAACTACATGTACTCACACAGAGTCCAGGTTCCAGGTTCCCACACTGGAAGGACAAGCCGTTGGAGATTTGCTGCATTTTCCTGGAAAAGCAAAAAACCAGTTGTGTTGATGTGACTTCAGTAATGAGTTGGTACAAGAACATGGAGCAGCAACATGGGTAATCAATCATGATCAAAATAGCGGCAGGTGTTGCATCGGATTGATGGTGGAAGATGGTGGAAACCAGGCAGCTATAACATGGCTGTTGGAAGCAAACACGCCATCTACTCTCTGTAACATGTAGTTTCATAATGTAATATCTTATAATTGTTTGATATAATATAGTATGTTTTATACATATATTTACATATTTTAGAACAGCTTCAATACCTTCTCAATAACTGTAAGACAGCTGTTCAGGATCTGGCAGAATACAAACACACAGTCAGTAAAATACAGAGTACATGAAACATGCCAACAATTGCCCCGACCCATAGATATATATAAACACTAGATGGCTCATGGGAGATTTTCCAGCGTAGCTCACCGGCCGCCATCTTGCTACAGTCAACAGGTACTCTGATTCGCGTTATGGTAGCTGTTGTAAGGTGAGTCATCTGCACACAAATACTCTTAACTCGCTGAAATCTTGACTGATTTACAAACGGTTTGGTTTATTATAAACATTATTAGCATGGCTATGATACAGGATGCTTGGACATGTTGAAATTGCAGCTTTTCTTTGTGTATGTGGTTGTATTTATTAGCTGGCTAATAACAAGAGGCTGTGAGTGAGACCTAGTATTACAAAGTTGACCCAGCAACTTTACACCAGTGGGAGAGGCAGAACTGCTCTTTCTTTTCAACATAACTTAAGTTACACATGATTTCTTCCAAGTGGTTTGGCTTGTTAAAAACATCTTGCATTATGATACAGGAATTTGCTGGCTTTGTGTTTACAGAAGTACCTGACTATGCCGGACTTTTGTGCAGCCTACGGATGCTCTAATCACCGCAGTCTGCAAACAAGAACCCGTGGGATCACCTTTCACGTGTAAGATATGACAATATTATGACTAAAATTAGGATAATCGTTAATTACTTAGTGGATGTATGTACATTACAAGTCCTGCTACACAGGATCAGTGGGGCTATGTGAGATAACAGTATTGCAAGATTGTTGTTGACCCAGCCTCTTTAGAATATGTTGTTACCATTTCTTTACACAATTATTTAATGTTTCTTTTGTACACCTTTTTTATTACTCTTAGTGTGGTTGTCTTATTCTTAAAGTAGGCTATACATACATGCATACATACCAAAAATATGATAATTTCGGTGTGTATTTTTGTCCTTACCCTTAATGTTAAAGGAAAGAAGGGAGGAAAATGTTGACAATAATTTATATATCTGGCTACCATTCTCATGTTTTTAAGGTTTCCCAAAACCGGAGAGAGGAGGAGGCAGTGGGAACTCGCCCTAAGAAGGGACGGTTTTGTTTCCTCTGGCAGGACACTGCTCTGCAGTGAGTACTTCAGGAGTGAGGACTTTGACAGGACGGGGCAGACTGTCCGGCTTAAAGATGGTGTTGTGCCAACAGTATTCAATTTCCCAGCTCATCTTCAAAGGGTATGTGTATCATTGGCCAACAAGAATTCAAGGTGTATAAGATTGATATATAAATATGTGATTAAATGTCACACTTTAGTTTTTTCTTTCTGCAAGTTTAGGAATAAATAATGTGTTGTGTATTACAGCACATTTTAAACACTCAACATGTCTTTAATGTTTATTTTAGCCGGAAGCAACAAGAAGCACAACCACTTCAAGAAGAGCGGAAGATGAACCTCAGCCTAATGTTGTGAGTATTCTGAATGTGGCCAAGACCAGAGAGATGGTCATTGATTTCAGGAGGGTGAGGACGTCTCCTCTACCCCTGTGCATTCTGGGAGAGGATGTGGCTGTTGTGGAGGACTACAAATACCTGGGAGTGCACTTAGACAATGGGCTGAACTGGAGGATCAACACTGACGCTGTGCACAAGAAGGGATATTAGAAGAAGGATATTAATTTCCATATTACTATTATTTATATATTCGTATATTTTGCCAAAGCAACAGGGAGCCACTGAGTGTTGTCAGGGCAGCAGAGTGGGTAATTTGCCAGGCATCAGCAGATTCTAGACGATCACAGCCCATCAAACTGCTAGAGGTCCTCTACATTGTGCGGAAGAGGATAGGTCCAGAGGATGTGTTTTTGCTCGGGGAGCACATTGTCGACACACAGTATGGCATTGACAGTCACCACCATACGCTGTTGACATTAGTTGTGTCCCTGTTTTTTAAGCTAAGGCTGCATCACATTGCAAAAATAACTGCTCTGAGCTTAGAGTGGCAGCATGAGACAGAAGCTCACAAAAACAGTCCTTTTCAAAGGGCATTAGCTCCAACTGTGTGTGCACGTGTTACGTGCCGTAGTGGGTGCTTGTGTGTCTCCCTCTCTTTCCCCCTGATGTTTCTTCTTCTTTGTTTAATGGTGAATCGTTACCACTAGGAGCATATATCGCCACCTACTATGTATTTATTAAATCTTTATTAAATCTAAAGAGGTGGGTCCTATGCAGCCAATGTGGTTCTTTGACCCAGCATTTATTTTTGAGTGAAGGTCACATGACCTGGAAGTTATTGAAGCAATATGCTCATTTTCCCATTCAAATATTATAAAAATATTTACAGGGTGAAAATGTAATAAAAAGAGGTGTCCTATGCATCAAGTATAGTTGTTTGATTCATAGCTGAATTTGAGTCATTAGGTCACATGATCTAGAAGTTATTGAAGAAATATGCAAATGTTTCCATCAAAATATTAAAACGTATTTAAAGTATTAAAATGCAATAAAAAGAGGTCTGTTCAACAAATGTATGCTCTAGAGTGGATTTGCTTCACATTCACTCGATCGGGAAGCTGTAGATTTATTAAAAATAACATGTTTCTTGTGTAATTGAAAAGTCATTTGTTGATGGTCCCTAAGTGAAAGCCTCGTTTCGCGGAGAAGACCTCCCCGTTGTAATACAGCCAGCAGCAGGGGAAACTGACGCTGCTGGCGGGTCCTTGAATGTCCGTCGAATATCCAACCTAAAACTAACTTCACCGCGTTCCACCAGGAGCACCAAATGGGGGGGAAGGAAAAAAGGAATTAAAAATGTAACTTTTACAATTTGTTTTGCTAATACTATTTGTAATAAGTATTGGATAACGAATTCAGAACTGTCTACATTGTGTAAAGCGACCGTACACAGAGCGGTCAGTGTTTGGCTTGAACTTATTTGATCAGTGGTTCTGTAAAATGAAAATTGTGACACAACCAATCACACACAGCATGTCCTCCATCAAACAATATGGAACGCTTCTGTTATGACAGTACAAAATAAAAACTTTTAGAAGCCATTTTAATTGCAGTCATTACACTTTCTGACAAATAAAGTTACATTGACAAGTTAAAGTTCACTGTGCATGTATACACGTTGCCACTGAGTGAAAAGGTCTTTGAAATCAAGGGGTTCTGAAGAAAGTGGAAATGACTGATGCAACTCTGCAGTATGGGTCATAGACTTACAGGTTTTATTTTGCCAGATGTCAACCACTTGCATGACATACTTTTTCTAAACACAGACAGACCCATGTGTGATATTTTTCCTGAAAGTGTCACACCAGTTGTCAACCGCTTTCAGTCTGATCACATTTCTTTGTCAAAGATCTGCATGCATCTTTACCGAACATAGTTCTTTGGAAACAGCTTGAAGAGCTTCCCCTCCTGCTTGGGATTAAATCCATATTTCTCCAGCTGTTCTTTGCTGAAAGTCCCATCTTTATAGTCTTTCTTGATCTGAGGGGCCACTACTTCAGCAAACACACTCTCTGCTGAGAGGGGGGGCTCCACTCCTCGAGGAGCGCGATATGAGACGTAGGGTTTAAGTTTGAAGTCTTCCAAGATCGGCACAACAAACTCAGGAATCATGGTCCGTATGGACAGAAACTTCCTGCTGGACAGCCTCATCCCAGTGGGCCTTGCACCCCTGCCTTTGTTATGAGTCCTTGATCCACGTTTGCTTGTAAACTCAGCCATTCTGTCCGCTCCTCTCACCAGACCCCTCACCAACGTGGATAACACCCCCATGGTTCCACAGCGTTTCCTCCTTTAAAAGACGGAGAAAAGGAGAAGACATGTTGTTTGACACATGTATTCTAGGGACAGTGGTGTAATGTCTTGAAGAACATTTACTCAAGTATTGTAATTAAGTACGATTCTGGGGTACTTCTACTTCAGTATTTGTATTGTATGCTTCTTTATGCTTCTACTCCACTAGAATTTGGAGGCCAATACTTCACTTTTTACTCCACTACATTTATTTGACAAAATGAGTTAATAGTCACTGTACAGATTCAGATTATTAGCTGAAACTAAATATACATACATTATGTAGGTACTTTTAGAAATGTTACCATTATTCCTTGGGATTGTGACAAACAGCATTGTGATCTCCCTGCCTGTATCGCATACAGAAGATTGACAATAAGTTGACTTTGACTTGACTGACTAAATACGCTAATAAATAAAGTATCATATATAAAAGGTTAACATATCCAGCAGCTGTACATAAAGAAATTTAAAGTAGTTCCCCCGTTACCAGCTGTGGTGAACACATTAATACATCAAAAAGAAATCCAGTAATGATATCATTCTAATATGGGACATTAAAAACAATAGTTACTTTTACATTTGGTACTTTAAGTATATTTTGATGTGCTACAGTTCAGAGGTAAATGGTGTACTTTTACTCCACCACATTTAATACCTTTAGTTACTTTACAGATGTGGATGAATGATGTGAAATCTAATCAAGTGTTGAATCAGACTTTAGTTCCACCTGGAGTAAATCCACCAGCTACCCTGCAGTATACAAAGTCATTCAAACTAGCTGCACCTTTACCAGCTTTGAGAACACTTTCATGATCAATCATTATAAAACACATCATATATATTATTCTGGAATGGACCAATCTGCACAATGACTACTTTTACTGTCGCTACTTTCACTATATTTTGATGAGAATACTTTTCTACAAGTATCATTTTGAATGCAGGACTTTTACTGTAACAGAGTATTCCTACACTGTTTTACTGAAGAACAAGATCTGATAACTTGTACTTTTACTCAAGTACAAGATCTGAGAACTTGTACTTTTACTCAAGTACAAGATCTGAGTACTTCTACTTTTACTCAAATACAAGATATGAGTACTTCTACTTTTACTCAAGTACAAGATCTGAGTACTTCTACTACCTCTGTTTATAGCCTATGAAAAAAACTATTAGAAAACGAAGGCTAAAGCTAACGTTAGCAGATAGTGACAATGTATGCTAGTTAGCTAGCTCAACGATTCCTTAAATAATATTGCGACAGAAAACCTCTTCACTGCACATCACCCTCTGCCGATCCGACAGGGAGCTCTGCTCTGAACACCTGAACTGTTCTAACAGCTGTTCACCAGCGGTCCAGTCTGTGCTACAGTGACTCCGGACCGCAGTTACTGTTAACGAACATTAGGTAATGTAGCTGCTGAAGTTAGCGGAGCAGCAGAGCCGACAGACAGGAAGACTCGAGCACACAGCTCGCGCTTCATTATAATATATTAAAAAAATAACACCATGCGCGTCAAGATGGCACATAACAGCTCGCGGCCGGAGATTACTCCGGGTCCCAGACAAGCCCCCAGGAAGTGTGCCGGACTCTGTGTTGTGTTTATTGTGTCCAAAACGGTGGTACTGCAACTTCCGTATCAGTCCGTGATGTCACAGTGACGCGTCCTAAACCCTGGAAGTAAACTGCGCATGTCTACCCTACTTTTATAATTTTCAAATCATAAATCTATCGATCATAAATCTATCGATTAGGTTTATGATTCGGAAATTATAAAAGTAGGGTAGACATGTGGAGATTATCCGACTGAACAAAACGTGATCCGTCTCTTGAATGTGTGTCAACCACAGACCTTATTTCGAGCTATTTTCCAAAATCCTATGGAGAAATTGCATTGCTTTTTTGTCGAAGGAACCCATGCGCAGTTACTTCTGGGTTTTAGGACGCGTCACTGTGGCACTCTATTGACTAACATGGGGAAAGAGACGTCTGTAAATCAGCGGATCTTTTTTTTTAACTAAATAAACTACCCAGTATGAACTATTTTATAGCCCTTATTAGAATCACTAGGTCCATAACATTTTAAAATGCACTAAAAGCCGAATCTAGATTTATTTTCTCTCCATTCAGTCTAGTGAGCCGAGAGTGGAAGCTCGGGGTACGGGTCTTAAGGAGCAACTCAACTGTGCATGCTCTAGCCAGGAATGACGGGTAATCTGTGACGTTTCGCTCTCTTAAAAGTTGGGCCATTTTGCTTTCATGCGCCAATGAGCAGCTCTCATAGGAAAGAACGAGATCCTGGCCGTTTCACAGGGTATTTCTCAATGCCGAGTAAAGCTGCTCCAGAGCCACTATTTCAAGCATACTATGTCATCGAGTGCCGCCGAAGGACTGTTCCACTGTCCAGCATACTTGGAATTCTACCGAGCCCGGCGTACTTTGTAGCGAGACATTTCAAGGCTGCACATGTGTAGACTCTGCGGTCTTAAAATCCCCACAATGCTTAGCGCACGGACCAATTTCCCCAAATCTGTGGCGGAAAATGTAAGACGGGGCCTCTCATATGACGCACACCTGCACACTTGCTCGCCTATTCCACTCTTCGTTTTCCGAATGCCAGGAAGGATTCTTGCCTCGCTTCTGAAGCAAGACGCTCGGGAGACGTGCTACCAAGCAAGCGTACTCGACAGAGTGGCGAAGTCCCTCCCCTTCCGGTTGGACCTCCATGGGACCTTATTTCGAAAAAATTATGTATTGAAGTCAATGGAGAGAGAAAGATTATCTTTTGATCCCGTTTGAATTGTGCCACGAATTACACATATGATGTTTGTCAAAAAAAAGTGTCGTAAAACTGTGAAGTAACACATTTGTTTGTGTGAAACGCTCAATGAACTACATCTCTGGTCTCGCAGAACAACACACGTCACCAAGATGGCCGTCACTACTGTCTTGTCAACAAAACGATGGACTACCCTCACTTTCACCACAATGAAACACGTCCAGAAGAATGTCATGCAAAGCTGCCTGCCTGCCTTTGATTCTCTCTGAACTGCCTGGTCTTTTTAATGTTTAATATCAACCATTTGTGCAGATAACATGAAGTAGAAAAGATCGCCGATCGCCGATGCTAGCGTTAGCATTTCTCCCCCGGGCTTAAATTGTGTATTATAGAATGATCACACCGGTGACAGTACTCTTCAAAGGGTTCACGAAATATGACTACTACTCTTACTGTTTAACATTTTGGGTTACTTAATGTTACTTCATGTTAAGGCTAATAAAAATGACAAGGCTGTAATGCTAACTAACGTGCTAGCTACTAGCTAGGTAGCTAACTTGATCCAGCCACTCCTGGTCCTTTCATCAGACGGGAAGTGAAAGAACGAGCAAGACCCAATGCTGGTATGATAACAACCTGGTACTAAGCACACAGGCATCTTGTTAAAGTTCTCTCATCTTAGCCAGCGCCATATAGATAGATTATATCTATATGGCGCTGATCTTAGCCATCTCTTAGTGGAGGAAAACAATTGTGACATCACTTACGCGACTCTGGGATTTGTAGTCTTTCTAGTTGCGTATTTTTCATCGTCTTATATTTCAACAGTTTTACGACAAACTGTGACTTTTTTGACATGGAAATGATTTTTTAAGATTGACAAACATATGTGTAATTCATGGCACAATTCAAACGGGATCGAAAGATACGTTTTCTCTCTCCATTGACTTCAATACATAATTTTTCCGAAATAAGGTCCCATGGACCGGAAGTAGATGGGCGTGACTTCGCCACTCTATTGAGAAACACCCTCAATGTCGAGAAAAGCCGCTGCAGAGCCACTATTTCAAGTATACTACGTCATCGAGTGGCGCCGAATGCTGGGCATTTAAACCATGGATGTATTATAAGAACTGGATACAGCGTGGGAGGCGGGGCCTCATTCATTCCAATGAGAGTTGCTCAATGGCGCATGATGACAAAATGGCCCAACTTTTGAGAGAGCGAAACGTCACAGATTACCCGGCATGCCTGAGAAGTACCCGTATGTGTGCTCATAGAGCAGGGGTACTCAAATACAAATCTTAAAGGTCCAAAATAAATGTTTCAATAAGACAAAGGTCCGTTTATTACGGTCATTCAAACTTTTAAACAATTGCAACAAGATTCTTAACACGAGGTTGCAAAAACAAAAATAATCTGTATGCAGCAGTTTTCATTGTTATTGTGTCTGTGCTTGACCCCTCAGAGTCGCAGTGTAAGAGCTGCACAGTTATGAATAAAGACAGCTGCACCCTCTTTCATTCAGCATTCCCATTATTGCTTTATAAATGTATTCCCCCTTGTGTGTCCACTGAGGATCGTCAGGCCCAACACATCTTCAACAAACTCCCCCTTTGCCTCATCATAAAAACTCACAAACACCAGCAACTGAGCATTGTCAGTGGTGTCAGTGGACTCACCCACAGCTAAGGAAATGCACTGTGCATTTTTTATTCCATCACAAAGCTGATGAATCAAATCACCAGCCAGTATTTATGTTCTTCTGGTTGCTGTGGAATCTGAGAGGGGATTTGCTTGATTTGACCTGTTATTTCCTCTTTTTGTTTGCCTTCAACATGGTCTCCATCACTTCAGACATGCATTCTTTTATACTCAGTTATTATCCAGTGGAAAGTCCTTACCTACTGGCCTAGTTCAATTAAAGTGGTTACTTTTTTTTGGCTGGGCAGTGTAGTTTTAAACACCGTCTGATTTGACTTTCTCAGGACTTAAAACAGTTTTTTGGGGGCAGACCCCCTCAAAGAAAAAAATATATTTACACACGTAAGTTCATCATCTTAATAGTTGTGTATGCTCATCCGTGAGCAGAGCATCAAGTTGACATGTCTATTACAGCTGAATGCGGCGATTACCATTTTGTTCAGCGAAACGCCTCACAAACGTATTAAGATCAACAGCTTTAGTGCGTTTTGATTCAATGCTGAGTACAGCCAAACTGACAGTCTCTTCTCTGTCAGACCGCAAATACCTCATTCCTTCAGCGCTTGGGTCCGAATGCTTCTCGTTTTGCGCCGTCCAGTTCAAAATGAAATCGCCGCCAATCGTATGTCCACGCTCGCGCCAGGACCGGGGGAGGGGTTACATGATGTGCATCTTGTGCTGCATTCACTTGCACTCGGACATTAGAGACTTTCTCTCATAAATGTCCGATGAGCCACAACTTTTCTTTCAAAACAAAGCTGCCAACTGGGGTGGCAAGGCCTATTTTTAGGGTGTCAGTTGCCACCCCGGTAGGTGAAACAAGGCTACTAGCTACAGTACAGATGGAACTAGATGAGCTGTTAACTCTCGCTCTGAATTTTTTGTTGTTGTTAATTCTCGCTCTGACTTAGACAGGTTGAAAGAGACACACACATGTTTCCCACCCGCATTCCGCGAAGACCCGCCCTACTGTGCCTCTGATTCGCAGATTGTTTGGGGGGAAAAAACGCTGACTGGATGCTGAATGTGATTGGACCAAAGCGTTGACACACACAGGTGGAACACAGTGGAACAGTCAGACATGCAGAGCGCTGTTTGCAGTGGACATAGAGGAGAATTTTGACTCATTGCGAATGCGTTGTGGCGATGTCTCACATATAATACAGAGATAATACATATAAAAAGTATAATTTGCTCAGAGTCCGGAGACAGTGGTGGTTCGGTCCGGATCCGGACCGGAGTCCGTAGTTTGAGGATGCCTGTCATAGAGCATGCGCAACTTTAACCACGCAGCACAAAAGGCTCGTTCACATTAAGCACGTGAATTTGCGTACATGTAACAGCACCACGCGTTCATGACAGCATGGTACTGGATTTATATTAACGAGGCGGCAGTTAGCAGCTAGCTAGTAAATTATGCTAAGTTACACACAGCGCGGTCCTGTGGGTTAGATGCGCGTTCATAATGCAGAGGGAAATAACTCTCAGAATAACGTTATTAGCACATTTTTACAACTTGAGGAACGAATGTTTTTAATAAGGGCTATACAAACATTCATACTGGGTAGTTTATTTAGTTTTAAAAAAATTATCCAACGAGTTACAGACCACTCTTTCCCCATGTAAGTCAATGGGAAAAAGTGTTTCCGGGCCCAGCAACCTAAAGGAAGTGTAGTACCGCCGTTTGGCCACAACGAATATTCTCATCAGACTCCGGTGTCAGTACCAGATATGTTCCGGCTACCAGATATGTTCGGGCTACCAGATATGTTCGGGTGTATTTCCGTCATATCCGTCTACTCACCTCCCTCTGCTGCCACACACAGAAATTGATTTAACTTCTGTTAGACAGCTATCATACTGAATACATATTTACTGTGAATGTGTGCAAAAATGTATGGCATATAGCTGTCGAACAGAAGTTAAATCCATTTCTCACTTATTCTGACAATGTACTTAACCCCAAATAAAAGAACCCAATAAAAAGAGTTGTTACATAATAGTGAAGTCACGTTGTAATAACAATAACTCATCTCTCTCTCGTTTTATTTTTGAGCTTTGCCAAAAGCCACTGTGTCAATGTTGTCCTACTTGGGTTGCCGTCCGGAGTTGTCCAATATGGCGGACCATCTCGCACATGCGCACTGCAGATCGGGCAGAGCTGCAGATCGGGTAGTGACAGTGACATCTGGTACTGACACCGGCGCACTTCCTAGGGGCTTGATTTAAACAGTCCTTCAGCGCCACTCGATGACGTAGTATACTTGAAATAGTGGCTCTGCAGCAGCTTTACTCGACATTGAGAAACGGCCCCTGCTTCCCACGCTTTATACAGTTCTTAGTATACATCCATGGTCCCAGACCCCCCCATATGCCTACCCCAAACATATTTGTATTGCAGATCTACACAAATGACCTATTTTGGATTCAAAACGGAGAATTTGGCCGAAAGGTGACAAGTTTGCATCCCTGATCTGAGTACATCTAACACCAATATCTAGGGAAGTACACAACTATAAGAAACCCCAGCTTGAACATTACTTTTTTTAAAGAAACGCTAACCTCCATTTGTTAACATTAAAAGTATGAAATAAACTATTTTAATAACTTTTAATTACATGTTTCCACATGCAGTAAAATTCCTTCTGGTGACATATGTATTGCTAGGTCTGAGGAAAAACACAGAAAGTGTTGCATTTTCTGTAGTGAATTCATTAGCTTGCTAGCTATCGATAACATGCGAGCTAGCTTATTGCAGTTAGTAGCATCTTCTGGCAAACTACAGTTCCTAACGTTATTACACGAAAACATGTGTTTCCGTTCAGTTAAATGTCATAATGTTCTCTCTATACGCTCATAAATGATGACAAAATTCGACTCCTCTCACCTTGAGCCCACTGTTTGTCCAACACAAGCAATGTGCTAGCACTCACTGCCCAATGAAATGCTCAGTGATTGGTCGAAAAGTTACACCATTCACCAATCACAATCCGAGATACTAGAACTGGACTGTCAATGATTGTAATGCGTCAAGTTAACCAGAGTTACCTGGAAGACCGACAGCTAGCCCTTCAAAATAAATGCTAAGAAGGCAAAACAGTATCTGCAGAGTGTATCTAATTTATTGGCAATGTTTTCCTGATGTATGGATATACTGTGTAATAATAAAACATGTAGCTGCACTCTCTCTCCACAGAGCCCAGTTATCTCTCGCTTCTGGTCCATAGTCCACGCGCGTCGGCATGATGCTTTTATTTGGACAGGAGTGGCAGGACATTCAGAGCGAGCATTCCGACACTATTCTTAGGTTTGTAGATACACAGAAACTTTGACACCAAAAAGAAAGGTACGTTGGGAAAAATATGTTTTCGGGTCTTTAGAACAGGGTAGGCTATAGCTGAGTGTTAATTTGTTTGTATTAGTTATAGACTCTTTGAATGTAGCTTTCAGCTCGCATTCGGTTGTCCTGCTGTGTGTGTTTGTAACGGACTGCACACAGAAGCGGACACCCCCTGTCAGCTATAACAAAGTCAAAGTTTATTTTACATGCAACGTTTGCTCTCTGCGCACTCTTATACTGACTATAAGTTCATATTAAACTATAACTGTGTGAGTAATTGTGCTTTATCCACTAACGCTGCATGTGAATCCTGTCAGCCAGGAATATGATGCTCCTTGTTGTCGCCAAACTTTTGAAATATCTGGCAATTTCCCTTTGGCCAAATGATCTCACGTGGACCAAAATAGGATACGACGTGAATGCCTAAATCCACTTTTTATTTCGACATATAGATAACAAAGCACTGATAAACACCTATTTATTATTATTGCTCATTTTGAATTGGCACACGAATAGAGACTAAGACAAATGGAGTCGTAAATATGTGACAGAAGTGATCCACAGATGGATCTGGTAAACAAAGTTAGGTTTGATCCCATTATCCCGTGCAGAGTGCTGGGGAGACAGCGTGAGGGGGAGTGTTCGGTTACAGCCATGAAGCTTGTGACCATTTTCTCGTGAGCCATGTAGGTGATCTTTAACCCAGATTCTTAAATAGTCCCGGTAATTTGGGTGGAGCAAGGCACGTGCGATAACAGCGTCAATCGTTCGAGTCCCGGACTTTTAATATTTTAACGTAAATGCTTTATCAAAATGTTCTACCACGTCATTATGTGACCATCTTCTGAAGGTTCAAATTCACAATCTTTATCTTGATGAAATGTTCTCATTGTTTGACTTTTTGGTTTAAATTATTTCATGTAACTCTAGAAATGGCCTCATTTCAGTCTCTTGGAACAGGCATGGGAGAGAATGAGGAAGAGGAGAGCTGCAGCATCTACCCGGTTAGTCTCCTCAGCACCATCCATTACACTGTATTGTCTGAAAATACATATCCATAGCCCTGGCTTGTACCTAGCAAGGCATTCATTTATACTGGGGATGCTAAGGACGCTGAGGAAATGTCCCCACCACTTTTGGAAAGGGACAATTTTGTCCTCACCACTTGCAATAATTGTACAATTTGAGAAAGGTTAATGTGCACAAGAGAACATGCCAATCTGGAGGACTGTTCTCACTTTGTGGGTGTATTTCTGGTAACCCAGTTGGTGTAGTTTGGACCTGCCACATGTTTTATATAAGTCATATTTGAATAGATAACGGTAAAGCAATTGTTGCTCCAGCTTTGCAGCAACGCAGCATAGTTACTGCACTAGTTATTGTAAGCATATTGTATGTATGATATAACAGTCGGCATATCATTCAGAGGTGTTTTTCCTAATGAAATACATGACACATTTCAAACAAGTATTCTGCTATGCTTTATGTATTTCACGTGATGATTACGGCTCTGAAACTGAAATGATAAGGTTGTTGCCTTGTCATATTTTCAAATGAACACTGCATCACAGCCTGACCTGCCTGCCGGTTTCTTCTCTCCGTGTTGTTCCTGTGCTTCATGTTTCAGAGCCTGCTGCTTCCACTCGGTAGTGAGATCAAGGCCAGGATGCAGCAGCTTGTGGAAGAAAGGATGGAGGCAAACATGGTAACCACCCACAGTTTGAATTGAAAGAATATCACTAAAGTGTGTGTTGAAGTGCACTGGAAATGTAATGACGACATATGAATGACTTCTCTTTTGCCTTTTATCACATAACATGTCGATGGGTAATATAAATAAGAGGGTCATCTCCTTTGTTAAATAACTGCAGATTGCTCATTGAAAACCTCTGTCTGTCTGTGTTGCAGTTGACGGCTGTGCTGATCGGAGCTGTGACGGTTGTTTCTGTTGTTGGAGTTGTTGTGTTCCTTCTTTACAGAAGATTCAAACTGTCGAGTCAGTGCCCTGCACACTGCACCCCCTGTTCGCTTTCACACTACATCTGTTTCTAAAATGTTTCATGATGAGAAAAAGACTTGTGTTAATGCTTGAACAGTTGTTGCTTCAGAGACTGATTGTTACAATAGCAGAGATCTTTCAGGGTTCACAGTTTATACAAGCATGCATTCCAACGGTTGGACCTGGGTACTGAAAGGTGGCAGACATTGGTCGTGATAGTGCAGGTAGTTGATACAAACAAAGTAGTTAGTGCATGAATTGTGTTATTTCAGGGCCCTGGCACTGCAGTGTGATCTAAGCAGGCAGCTTTACTGCATCAGTCCTAAACTGGTGTCAAGGGCGCAGACAATCTGTAGATGGCTAATGGCCTCTTTACATTACATTACTTTACTAATGTTATGGCCTGATTGAGGATGCTTGCTGTGTTTCAGAGGAGCAGGCCGGCGTTCCACACTATCGCTTCAGGAAGAGAGACAAGGTGATGTTCTACGGCCGAAAGATCATGAGAAAGGTCAGTGCCCTTTTAAACATTGTTAAAAATGTCAAATGTAACATTTCTGCATTTAAATGTCTATAAACAACCAGACATTTCTTGTATATTTGGTTGAGTTGTGTTTTTTTATAATCCCAAATGTGCCTAACAATTTTCAGATTTTTTTTTAACGAAGCTAACAAAGCCATTCTACTTCTAATGTATTGTCGTCATTATCCCCTTTTCAAATGGACTTTTTTCAAGTTTTAAGCCACTTTTTTACGGTATACTTTTTAGATCTTGGTGGTTCTTAAACCACTTATTTGTTAAGTATTAAAATAATCGGCCATCTCAAATTTAAGTCTGAGCTGAAAAAACGTGAGAAGCAATGAATGTGTTCACATGCTTTTTTCATTGTTTTATTACAATTCTTTAATCACCATGTCCGCTTGTTAAGGAAGAGAGGAATGAATGCTAGCACATCAAACCGACAAACTTTTCCCTTTGCAGGTTCAGACGCTGTCTTCAGTCCCTTCTTCTGGTTCAAACTCAGCTTCTCGGCAAAGAGTGAGAAAGAGGACCAAAGTCCTGTCGATCGCCCGCAAGTGAGTCCCGTTTTCAGCATTTTCTGAAAACACGATAAGCTCCAGGGTTCAAAGGTCATTCATATCTTTGAAATAGTTGTTTGATAATCAAACTCAAGGTCCAAGTAAGTGCCTTGAGTTACGATTAATTTATCAATGAAGATAAGATGGTATGTTAACACAGAGAAAACACAATCAGTGTCAGTCATCACTAAATATTGGATCTAATGTAGATGATGAATATAAAAAAACAGCATATGCCTAGAGTTATTCTAAATCCTTCCTTTAATAATCCAATAAACAACCATTCAGGATTTCCATTAAAACACTTAAATAAACAGACATGCACTTATTAAACAGGAAGATTTGTAATATAAAATACCAGTGTGTTTAGAGAAGTTGAACAGGTGTGTGAAATGATCTCAGAATGATGGTTCAGAGACTTGTTCTGCCAATCAGAGTAGTCCATTCTGTCAGTATGAAGGAATTCATTTGACATGTGTGTTGTTAGGATCCTGCGCATCAGGAAGGAGCCCCCCACCCTGCAGCCCAAGGAGCCCCCCCCCCAGTCTGCTGGAGGCTGACCTTACGGAGTTTGATGTCCAGAACTCCCATCTGCCCTCCGAGGTGCTGTACATGCTGAAAAATGTCAGGTAGGTGAAATTGAATGCTTTATTCCTTCTTTTAAAAAAAAAAAGTATATCCATTTATCTTTCTTTATAAATATAACTAGGAATCAGACAGAACCCCACTACTGTAGCAAGCAGCAACATAAAACTGCAACAACGAGAAAAATAAATCTAACTAATACAACACGACACAACCAACAAATAGATCAAAATAGGTATCTTGTTAATTTGGGATAATAGTAAACAAGCTTTCTCTATCATAAACAGTGGACCGATGTGTATTCGTCTAACTACATGCCTTTTTTTATTTTAATTGAGTAAATGTCCCTTGCTAATAGACATGTGTCTCAATAAGAGTCTGGGTTGTACATGGACTTACACCAAAACAATCTAGATTGTCAAATTGCACTACTGGTTAAAGGAAAGGACAACTGTTGTTCAAGCAAAACAGGCCAAACATTCTCTTTTATAAGTTAAAGAGTCCTCTCCTGCTGATGTTCAGGTGTATATCAGTATGTAGTGTCTCTACTTTAAAGAGTCCTCTCCTGCTGATGTTCAGGTGTATATCAGTATGTAGTGTCTCTACTTTAAAGAGTCCTCTCCTGCTGATGTTCAGGTGTATATCAGTATGTAGTGTCTCTACTTTAAAGAGTCCTCTCCTGCTGATGATCAGGTGTATACCAGTATGTAGTGTCTCTACTTTAAAGAGTCCTGTCCTGCTGATGTTCAGGTGTATATCAGTATGTAGTGTCTCTACTTTAAAGAGTCCTCTCCTGCTGATGATCAGGTGTATATCAGTATGTAGTGTCTCTACTTTAAAGAGTCCTCTTCTGCTGATGTTCAGGTGTATATCAGTATGTAGTGTCTCTACTTTAAAGAGTCCTCTCCTGCTGATGTTCAGGTGTATATCAGTATGTAGTGTCTCTACTTTAAAGAGTCCTCTCCTGCTGATGATCAGGTGTATATCAGTATGTAGTGTCTCTACTTTAAAGAGTCCTGTCCTGCTGATGTTCAGGTGTATATCAGTATGTAGTGTCTCTACTTTAAAGAGTCCTCTCCTGCTGATGATCAGGTGTATATCAGTATGTAGTGTCTCTACTTTAAAGAGTCCTCTCCTGCTGATGTTCAGGTGTATATCAGTATGTAGTGTCTCTACTTTAAAGGGTCCTCTCCTGCTGATGTTCAGGTGTATATCAGTATGTAGTGTCTCTACTTTAAAGAGTCCTCTCCTGCTGATGTTCAGGTGTATATCAGTATGTAGTGTCTCTACTTTAAAGAGTCCTCTCCTGCTGATGATCAGGTGTATATCCGTATGTAGTGTCTCTACTTTAAAGAGTCCTGTCCTGCTGATGTTCAGGTGTATATCAGTATGTAGTGTCTCTACTTTAAAGAGTCCTCTCCTGCTGATGATCAGGTGTATATCAGTATGTAGTGTCTCTACTTTAAAGAGTCCTCTCCTGCTGATGTTCAGGTGTATATCAGTATGTAGTGTCTCTACTTTAAAGAGTCCTCTCCTGCTGATGTTCAGGTGTATATCAGTATGTAGTGTCTCTACTTTAAAGAGTCCTCTCCTGCTGATGTTCAGGTGTATATCAGTATGTAGTGTCTCTACTTTAAAGAGTCCTCTCCTGCTGATGATCAGGTGTATATCAGTATGTAGTGTCTCTACTTTAAAGAGTCCTCTCCTGCTGATGTTCAGGTGTATATCAGTATGTAGTGTCTCTACTTTAAAGGGTCCTCTCCTGCTGATGTTCAGGTGTATATCAGTATGTAGTGTCTCTACTTTAAAGAGTCCTCTCCTGCTGATGTTCAGGTGTATATCAGTATGTAGTGTCTCTACTTTAAAGAGTCCTCTCCTGCTGATGTTCAGCTGTATATCAGTATGTAGTGTCTCTACTTTAAAGAGTCCTCTCCTGCTGATGTTCAGGTGTATATCAGTATGTAGTGTCTCTACTTTAAAGAGTCCTCTCCTGCTGATGTTCAGGTGTATATCAGTATGTAGTGTCTCTACTTTAAAGAGTCCTCTCCTGCTGATGTTCAGGTGTATATCAGTATGTAGTGTCTCTACTTTAAAGAGTCCTCTCCTGCTGATGTTCAGGTGTATATCAGTATGTAGTGTCTCTACTTTAAAGAGTCCTCTCCTGCTGATGTTCAGGTGTATATCAGTATGTAGTGTCTCTACTTTAAAGAGTCCTCTCCTGCTGATGTTCAGGTGTATATCAGTATGTAGTGTCTCTACTTTAAAGAGTCCTCTCCTGCTGATGTTCAGGTGTATATCAGTATGTAGTGTCTCTACTTTAAAGAGTCCTCTCCTGCTGATGTTCAGGTGTATATCAGTATGTAGTGTCTCTACTTTAAAGAGTCCTCTCCTGCTGATGTTCAGGTGTATATCAGTATGTAGTGTCTCTACTTTAAAGAGTCCTCTCCTGCTGATGTTCAGGTGTATATCAGTATGTAGTGTCTCTACTTTAAAGAGTCCTCTCCTGCTGATGATCAGGTGTATATCAAGTATGTAGTGTCTCTACTTTAAAGAGTCCTCTCCTGCTGATGTTCAGGTGTATATCAGTATGTAGTGTCTCTACTTTAAAGAGTCCTCTCCTGCTGATGTTCAGGTGTATATCAGTATGTAGTGTCTCTACTTTAAAGAGTCCTCTCCTGCTGATGTTCAGGTGTATATCAGTATGTAGTGTCTCTACTTTAAAGAGTCCTCTCCTGCTGATGTTCAGGTGTATATCAGTATGTAGTGTCTCTACTTTAAAGAGTCCTCTCCTGCTGATGTTCAGGTGTATATCAGTATGTAGTGTCTCTACTTTAAAGAGTCCTCTCCTGCTGATGTTCAGGTGTATATCAGTATGTAGTGTCTCTACTTTAAAGAGTCCTCTCCTGCTGATGTTCAGGTGTATATCAGTATGTAGTGTCTCTACTTTAAAGAGTCCTCTCCTGCTGATGTTCAGGTGTATATCAGTATGTAGTGTCTCTACTTTAAAGAGTCCTCTCCTGCTGATGTTCAGGTGTATATCAGTATGTAGTGTCTCTACTTTAAAGAGTCCTCTCCTGCTGATGTTCAGGTGTATATCAGTATGTAGTGTCTCTACTTTAAAGAGTCCTCTCCTGCTGATGTTCAGGTGTATATCAGTATGTAGTGTCTCTACTTTAAAGAGTCCTCTCCTGCTGATGTTCAGGTGTATATCAGTATGTAGTGTCTCTACTTTAAAGAGTCCTCTCCTGCTGATGTTCAGGTGTATATCAGTATGTAGTGTCTCTACTTTAAAGAGTCCTCTCCTGCTGATGTTCAGGTGTATATCAGTATGTAGTGTCTCTACTTTAAAGAGTCCTCTCCTGCTGATGTTCAGGTGTATATCAGTATGTAGTGTCTCTACTTTAAAGAGTCCTCTCCTGCTGATGTTCAGGTGTATATCAGTATGTAGTGTCTCTACTTTAAAGAGTCCTCTCCTGCTGATGTTCAGGTGTATATCAGTATGTAGTGTCTCTACTTTAAAGAGTCCTCTCCTGCTGATGTTCAGGTGTATATCAGTATGTAGTGTCTCTACTTTAAAGAGTCCTCTCCTGCTGATGTTCAGGTGTATATCAGTATGTAGTGTCTCTACTTTAAAGAGTCCTCTCCTGCTGATGTTCAGGTGTATATCAGTATGTAGTGTCTCTACTTTAAAGAGTCCTCTCCTGCTGATGTTCAGGTGTATATCAGTATGTAGTGTCTCTACTTTAAAGAGTCCTCTCCTGCTGATGTTCAGGTGTATATCAGTATGTAGTGTCTCTACTTTAAAGAGTCCTCTCCTGCTGATGTTCAGGTGTATATCAGTATGTAGTGTCTCTACTTTAAAGAGTCCTCTCCTGCTGATGTTCAGGTGTATATCAGTATGTAGTGTCTCTACTTTAAAGAGTCCTCTCCTGCTGATGTTCAGGTGTATATCAGTATGTAGTGTCTCTACTTTAAAGAGTCCTCTCCTGCTGATGTTCAGGTGTATATCAGTATGTAGTGTCTCTACTTAAAGAGTCCTCTCCTGCTGATGTTCAGGTGTATATCAGTATGTAGTGTCTCTACTTTAAAGAGTCCTCTCCTGCTGATGTTCAGGTGTATATCAGTATGTAGTGTCTCTACTTTAAAGAGTCCTCTCCTGCTGATGTTCAGGTGTATATCAGTATGTAGTGTCTCTACTTTAAAGAGTCCTCTCCTGCTGATGTTCAGGTGTATATCAGTATGTAGTGTCTCTACTTTAAAGAGTCCTCTCCTGCTGATGTTCAGGTGTATATCAGTATGTAGTGTCTCTACTTTAAAGAGTCCTCTCTGCTGATGTTCAGGTGTATATCAGTATGTAGTGTCTCTACTTTAAAGAGTCCTCTCCTGCTGATGTTCAGGTGTATATCAGTATGCAGTGTCTCTACTTTAAAGAGTCCTCTCCTGCTGATGTTCAGGTGTATATCAGTATGTAGTGTCTCTACTTTAAAGAGTCCTCTCCTGCTGATGATCAGGTGTATATCAGTATGTAGTGTCTCTACTTTAAAGAGTCCTCTCCTGCTGATGTTCAGGTGTATATCAGTATGTAGTGTCTCTACTTTAAAGAGTCCTCTCTTGCTGATGTTCAGGTGTATATCAGTATGTAGTGTCTCTACTTTAAAGAGTCCTCTCCTGCTGATGTTCAGGTGTATATCAGTATGTAGTGTCTCTACTTTAAAGAGTCCTCTCCTGCTGATGTTCAGGTGTATATCAGTATGTAGTGTCTCTACTTTAAAGAGTCCTCTCCTGCTGATGTTCAGGTGTATATCAGTATGTAGTGTCTCTACTTTAAAGAGGTCCTCTCCTGCTGATGTTCAGGTGTATATCAGTATGTAGTGTCTCTACTTTAAAGAGTCCTCTCCTGCTGATGTTCAGGTGTATATCAGTATGTAGTGTCTCTACTTTAAAGAGTCCTCTCCTGCTGATGTTCAGGTGTATATCAGTATGTAGTGTCTCTACTTTAAAGAGTCCTCTCCTGCTGATGTTCAGGTGTATATCAGTATGTAGTGTCTCTACTTTAAAGAGTCCTCTCCTGCTGATGTTCAGGTGTATATCAGTATGTAGTGTCTCTACTTTAAAGAGTCCTCTCCTGCTGATGATCAGGTGTATATCAGTATGTAGTGTCTCTACTTTAAAGAGTCCTCTCCTGCTGATGTTCAGGTGTATATCAGTATGTAGTGTCTCTACTTTAAAGAGTCCTCTCTTGCTGATGTTCAGGTGTATATCAGTATGTAGTGTCTCTACTTTAAAGAGTCCTCTCCTGCTGATGTTCAGGTGTATATCAGTATGTAGTGTCTCTACTTTAAAGAGTCCTCTCCTGCTGATGTTCAGGTGTATATCAGTATGTAGTGTCTCTACTTTAAAGAGTCCTCTCCTGCTGATGTTCAGGTGTATATCAGTATGTAGTGTCTCTACTTTAAAGAGTCCTCTCCTGCTGATGTTCAGGTGTATATCAGTATGTAGTGTCTCTACTTTAAAGAGTCCTCTCCTGCTGATGTTCAGGTGTATATCAGTATGTAGTGTCTCTACTTTAAAGAGTCCTCTCCTGCTGATGTTCAGGTGTATATCAGTATGTAGTGTCTCTACTTTAAAGAGTCCTCTCCTGCTGATGTCCAGGTGTATATCAGTATGTAGTGTCTCTACTTTAAAGAGTCCTCTCCTGCTGATGTTCAGGTGTATATCAGTATGTAGTGTCTCTACATGTCTCCATGCTTTAATGTTCAGAAAGCTCTTTATTTTTCTCATACTGTCTGTGCTGCAGCACCTCTTTTCCCCTTCTGTCTGAAACCAGAGCCCAGTCTGCTCTGATTGGTTAGCTGGCGGGCTCTACTGTGATTGGTCAACCGCTTAGAGATGTCCCGCCCCTTAGCCTCTCATGTACAAAGTGTTGGAGCGCTAGCCAATCAATCTTTTATTGGACATTTAACTTTATATTCTTATGTTTTATAAACATCTTATTCTATTTTTAAGAATATTTTTATTAAATATTTTTTCTTCAACTTCTTATGATGAAATAGTTTGTTCTATTTCATTTGAATTAACATTTCATTTTTAATTCTATAATAGAACCACAACAACAAAACTCAATTTCCACCGGGATAAAACAGATACTGATTCTGATGAATCCATTATCAAAACTGTTGCTGAATAATTTTGTATTGATTCTCAAATTGATCAACTCTGCTTGACTCCAGCTAGCCAGCTCAGGATCCACATCTAACAACCATGCGTATCAGATTAACAGGAGAGTATGCATACACATCCTGGGCACACAGTGCTGATCCATACTGATGCAGATGTCCAGATTCAATCATGAGTGTTGTCATTATTAAAGCATCACATACTGTGGGTGTGTCTTCTGTCCCCAGTGGTCAATACACTGATTTTGAACAACACTTTAAACATGGTAAGCAGTGTAAACAGTGTCTTCTTACAGAACTGAAATCTTAAGGATTATAACTTTTCTCCCCAAATGAGAGAGACTGCATCTGTTGTACATGTAAGGTGTAAGAATGTTATATCTTGGATATGATAAGGTTTAACTTTAATTCTCATAACCGTGGACTGGACTAAGAAAACCTGGAATGGAGATTTGTGGATTATATTATTATTTTGACTATTTATCATGAACTATATATATTGCATACACCCTTTCACTCATATGGGACTCACTGATCATTTTAACTATTGAATATATTATTGTGTCTGCATTTAAGAGAGATGTGTTGTGTGTATTTGTTCAAATGTATTAATTTAACATGGTAAAGTTACAGACATTTTGAACTGGTTAAGAGTGGCTCTATGGTTGCCCGTCGGTAACATGTACCTTTTGTAGGGTTTGGCTCGACCTAAACTTTTAAAATGGTCAGGCCTGACCTGATTGGCACCCCAGCAACTTTGGTCAAACTGCTACAAGTGTTACATTTAGGAATGTGCTTATTATCATTAGCAGTATTATAAAGATGTGCACATCCAGTGGTAGAAAAAGTATTCTGAAGTACATTATTATACATTATTGTCATAAAAACTGAATTCCAAACACAAGTCCTGCATTCAAAATGTTTACTTCAGTAAAGGTACAAAAGTATTATCAGCAATATGCACTTAAAGTATAACAAGTAAAAGTAATCATTGTACAGAAAAATTGCCTTATTGCGTATATAATTATATTTATATATATATGACATTTCTAGATAATATTGTTTCATCAATTAGCATTTTTCTGTTGTAGACAAACAAAGTTCTGATTTACTTTTTGTAAAATATTGTATATGAAGTGTTAGTCCACTGGTTAAATCTTTAGAGATGCATTTTGTTAAAAGTTGCTAAAGCTGTTAAATAAATAAATGTAGTGGAGTAAATTACATTATTTCCCTTTTTAAATGTGGAGTAGATGTATAAAGTAGCAAACAATGGAAATACTCAAGCACAAGCACCTCAACAATTTACTTAATTACAGTACTTGAGTGAATGTACTTAGTTACTTATTTTCTGCACACCTACAAAGCCCTTTACAACTTGGCCCCCACCAATCTCACCGACCTTCAGGAGTAACCCAACCCCTAACCACCACTCCTGCTGCTCGCTCATTCTCAGCTGGTCTCCTGGTGCTAACCTTCCCCTTGTCACGGCTGTTGGTCTTTCGGCTGCAGTGCTCCCAGGCTCTGAAACTCCCTCCACACACCAAACAGTCTGACTACCACGTTCAAACCCCACCTGTTCTGTTCAGAATAGGCTAAACCAGGGCTGTCCAAACTTTTCACTGAGGGCCACATACAGAAAAACACATGAAGGGCTGGGCCCGAGGTGAGGTATATTGCCTCATAAGTTAAGTTGTAAGTCAGCAAAATCGATGGAATGTGGCTAAATGATGCTTGATAGTTGAATATGCTTTAAGAAACAAACTGCCTCCATCCCAGCTCTCCAGAGGGTTTCATTTAGTTACTGTTGCAGCTCCTCCCTTAAAACAGACGCCTCAGATTGATTATAATAAGGGGAAATAGGAAGGGAATATTTCAAGCTGGTTATGGAAATAAGTTATTGGGCCTTTTTTATCAACTCATATTTCTTAGAAAATGTTTTCCACTTTGATTGACTGAATTAAAAAATGTGGGCTTACTTGCACATGAATACTACTGTGTTATATATGTTTACATACATATTTAAGAATTACAATATAAGAAGTTTCATGTGTTGGCCATATTCCATTAGACTTTTAGAATTGGCTGGGGGCCAAAGTTTGGACAACCCCGGCCTAAATACTATAGTTTGAACCAGTCTGTATGCTTTCCTCAACTGTTACTGAGCATCCCCCTCATACATGCCTGCCATGTTTTCCTCATCTCTTGCTGTTCTTATCAGTTAGAGTATTTATTTTATGAATTGTAAGGTGTCCTTGTGTATCCTGTGAAACTGTGAAGTCCACTGAGACAAATGTAACATTTGTGATATTGGGCTTTATAAATAAACATTGGTTGATTGATTGATATCCTGGAAAGCGCCTTCAATACAATGTATTATTATTATTATTATTAGGGTGCTGGGCCACTTTGAGAAGCCTGTGTTCCTGGAGCTGTGCCGGCACATGGTGGTGATCCAGCTGCACCAGGGGGAGGCACTCTTCAGACCAGGGGACACTGATGACAGTATTTACGTGGTTCAAGATGGCCGCTTGGACATGTCCATCCATGAGAGCGTGAGACCTCAGGGCTGACCACAAACTACTGCCTGCAACAACCACATGGATATTTGACACTCAGCGATGTGATCAGGGAGATGTAATGGTGTTTTCTTCCTGCAGGATGGGACTGACGCTGTGGTGAAGGAAGTGTTACCAGGAGACAGCGTTCACAGTCTGCTGAGTATCCTGGACATCATCACTGTACGTTTGCATTTTAGAACAGAGGAAAAGTACACCGATTTTTCACTTTAGTAAAAGTAGTGTAAAATACTGTGGTACAAGTCAAAGTCTGCATTTCAAATATTTTTTCAAGAAAAGTAGAAACGTTTCATGTATTTGTATTTAAAGAACATTTGAAAAGTGCTCTTTCTGCACCAAGGCACATTTCAGAATAATATGTATTATATTATAAAAGGATTTTATGAAATAATTATTCTATTCATCACTTAAAGTGTTTTGTATGCTCTTCTACATTAGCTCTTCTTTATTGGCGTGTTGTTCCCATTTCTTGATGCATGTTAATGGTTTTGTTAGGGTTGTTACTCCTCACAACTCCTTCTTTCTCCACAAACTGTACTGTGTATTCAGGGCTATCCAGCGCCTTATAAAACGGTGTCTGCCAGAGCTGCAGTCACCTCCACCATCCTGCGTCTGCCGGCTGCAGCCTTCCAGTCAGTGTTTGAGAAATATCCAGAAACTCTGGTCCGTGTCATCCAGGTAAAGCGTCCACTGACACTTCCGCAGTGCAAGTACAGTCTGAGCCAGAGAAAAGCACAGGCAGCTTCACAAACTGCATCCATTCCCTGATGTGGCACTGACAGAGCAGTGCGTCTCCTCCTCTGCAGATAATCATGGTGCGTCTCCAGAGAGTCACCTTCCTCGCCTTACACAACTACCTGGGCCTGACCACTGAGCTCTTCAACCCGGTACTGTTTGATGTTGTTGCTCTGCTTCATTCTGTTTACTGATAAGCATCACCTTTTCAAATGAGATACAACGAGATACAGAGAATGACCAAATACTGCCCAGGTACACCAAAGATCACCCAATTAATGTGCAGCTCTCAGAGGGCCACCAGCTGCAATTAAAGAAGCAGTGGATTAAATAAATGCATTACATGTGTAGAACACTAAGGCATTGTATATTTCCCCTCTTTGGATGAATAAAGGTATTCTGATCCTGATAACAAGGGTAGAGTTAACCAACAGTTATGTAATGTGTCCATATCTTCAAAATGAAAAGGCTGATTTAAAACTGAAGCTCCGTCATAAGGGCCTGCTGTGATCATTAAGCTAAGCTTGTAAATAAATAAAACATATTTGGGTAATAAGCTGGTATTGCCCCCTCCTCTTCAAAGTTTTTTTTTATTGAATGTTCCAAAATGGGACAGAAAAAAGTTATACTTTTAAATTCAGTGAACCCTTAGGCATCCAGCTGACATACAGCTCATGCTTATATATTATAGTATACCCCTCATACCCAATATACACTTACCCACAAATGACAAACAAGAAGGTTGTGTATTGAAAATATATATATATAACACTTTGAGTATTGCCTCACGTGGTGCACAACAATACTGTAGCATAAATTCATTATTTAAACTAAATATGTCACAATGACCAATGGCGTCAAGTGGCTTGCAAGTTTAATAGTACATTACAGGATATAACATAAGTCCATCACACTACAAAAAGGAAAATATGACAGCCAATAAATTCATTTAGGATAATTTTCGGACGTTGCTACTTGTTGCATAACACTCCACTAACAATTACTGAACAGACAATACATAAATGTGATGATGAATCACTTCCATCTGTGCCCCTCCCTAGCCTTTCCTGACTCAGGGATAAGGGTCCAGATCCAAATTTAAGTCACGTTACTCGCTCAGCAAACACCTTTAGCCTTTGAAGCAGTTGTTGATCACTTGTAGCTCCTACTGACGGGTATGGGGGAGTCGGGAATCATTGATGGTTTAAATAGTCAATAAAATAGGTTTATCGGCCATACATTTGAACACAAAATATTAGGCTGATCTTCATTAGGTCATCCTTCTCCACAGAATTATTTTTGTTGACCTTTTGGGATTTGATAATGTTGCAATCATCATTGACTATGCACAAAGGGTAAATGTAATGAAGTAGCAGCAAGGTTATAGTAGAAATAGAAAAAACTCTAAATTGCATGCTGTTGTTCTACAACAGTGTTCTTCAAATATTAAGAAGTGCAAGTGTTATGAAGGGTTAACATATCAAATACACTTACAACCTTATATTCAACATTTTAGAATCCTACTATATAAATACTGTTTTGTAAAGTCATAAAAAAATGTTGAGGTACTTTTGAGGCAATTCAGATGTAAATAGTGAACTTATACTTCAGTACATTTATTGAATGCCTTTTGTTACTTTACAGATTTGGATGAATGATAAAATATAATCAGCTCTTAAATCAGACTTTAGTTCCACCTGGAGTAAATTCACAAGCTACCCTGCAGTATACAAACTTCAGTCATTCAAACTAGCTGCACCTTTACCAGCTTTGAGAACACTTTCATGATCAATCATTATAAAACATATATATATTATTATAAAATGTAAAGTAAAATAAAAAGTATTTATATATATATATATGTGTGTGTTGCAGGAGAGCCAAGCGATCTCCCTGGTGTCGGTTGCCAATGTTCTGGGGGAGGGTTATCCACACCGAGGCCTCCGCAGGCAGCCCTCCCACTCTGAAGATCAGGGCTCTGAAAAAAGTGACACAGGTCAGAAACAACACCAATGTCACACACTTCACTTTTAGGCTGCAGGAATGTATTTCTAGTAATGTTTGTCGAACATATCTGTTTTCTTGTCACCCACTTCAACAGAAAAGTCCAGTTACTCAGAAACTTCGAAATACAAGAAATCTCGCTCATTCTCCACCCCGATGGCTGTTACAGGTCCTTTCTTTTATTTGCTTCACATTCTTGTCTGGGTAGGACATATGCAATTCAGTGAACTATGGTTACTCCAGAACCCTGGAACAAAGAAGTAGGAATAACAATTACAGAAAAAAACATTTGGATTATGTTTTCCTGATGTCAAAAAGGTGTGTCAGTTCCATGTGTGCTAATGTTTAGTATTTTTGCAGTTAACCAATACTTTTTTGTTTTCTTGTTACCAAACCCAATTACCAGACATTTCCCACTTCTCATTCGCAACGTTTTAAGCTCATATAAACAATAAGACAAGAATAGAAAAAAAATGAATCAACCTATTTTTTAACCATCAAGCCTGAAATATAATATACTAGAAAGGAAATACTTCACATGATATCTGAGCTGTGACAAAACATGAAAATGCAGTTTACAGTGCAAACAGCAGCAACACTCACTGCAGTCTCAACACTCATCAGCCTCAACACTCACTGCAGCCTCAACACTCATCAGCCTCAACACTCACTGCAGCCTCAACACTCATCAGCCTCAACACTCACTGCAGCCTCAACACTCATCAGCCTCAACACTCACTGCAGCCTCAACACTCACTGCAGCCTCAACACTCACTGCAGCCTCAACACTCACTGCAGCCTCAACACTCAGCAGCCTCAACACTCATCAGCCTCAACACTCACTGCAGCCTCAACACTCACTGCAGCCTCAACACTCACTGCAGCCTCAACACTCACTGCAGCCTCAACACTCACTGCAGCCTCAACACTCATCAGCCTCAACACTCAGCAGCCTCAACACTCACTGCAGCCTCAACACTCATCAGCCTCAACACTCACTGCAGCCTCAACACTCAGCAGCCTCAACACTCATCAGCCTCAACACTCATCAGCATCAACACTCAGCAGCCTCAACACTCAGCCTCAACACTCACTGCAGCCTCAACACTCAGCAGCTTCAACACTCATCAGCCTCAACACTCATCAGCATCAACACTCAGCAGCCTCAACACTCATCAGCCTCAACACTCATCAGCATCAACACTCAGCAGCCTCAACACTCAGCCTCAACACTCACTGCAGCCTCAACACTCAGCAGCCTCAACACTCAGCAGCCTCAACACTCAGCCTCAACACTCATCAGCCTCAACACTCATCAGCATCAACACTCAGCAGCCTCAACACTCAGCCTCAACACTCACTGCAGCCTCAACACTCAGCAGCCTCAACACTCAGCATCCTCAACACTCAGCATCCTCAACACTCAGCATCCTCAACACTCAGCCTCAACACTCAGCAGCCTCAACACTCAGCATCCTCAACACTCAGCCTCAACACTCATCAGCCTCAACACTCATCAGCCTCAACACTCATCAGCCTCAAAATTCATCAGCCTCAAAATTCATCAGCCTCAACACTCATCAGACTCAACACTCATCAGACTCAACACTCATCAGCCTCAACACTCAGCAGACTCAACACTCAGCAGACTCAACACTCAGCAGCCTCAACACTCAGCATTCTCAACACTCATCAGCCTCAACACTCATCAGCCTCAACACTCAGCAGCCTCAACACTCAGACTCAACACTCATCAGCCTCAACACTCAGCATTCTCAACACTCATCAGCCTCAACACTCATCAGCCTCAACACTCATCAGCTTCAACACTCATCAGCCTCAACACTCATCAGCCTCAACACTCAGCAGACTCAACACTCAGCAGACTCAACACTCATCAGCTTCAACACTCAGCAGCCTCAACACTCAGCAGCCTCAACACTCAGACTCAACACTCATCGGCCTCAACACTCATCAGCCTCAACACTCAGCCTCAACACTCATCAGCCTCAACACTCAGCCTCAACACTCATCAGCCTCAACACTCATCAGCTTCAACACTCAACAGCCTCAACACTCAGCAGCCTCAACACTCAGCAGACTCAACACTCAGCCTCAACACTCATCAGCCTCAACACTCAGCAGACTCAACACTCAGCAGCCTCAACACTCAGCTTTCTCAACACTCAGCAGTCTCAACACTCAGCAGTCTCAACACTCAGCAGTCTCAACACTCAGCAGCCTCAACACTCAGAAGTCTCAACACTCAGCAGTCTCAACACTCAGCATCCTCAACTAGGAACATTGTTTGCTGAGCTCCATGAGCACTCTGATGATGGGATCTTTTTGTTCTGCAGGTGAAATGTCCTTCGGTCTCAACAAAGTGTATGAACGGGCTCAGGTTTCCAAAGAAGAAGCTCTGATTCACAGCCCTGTGAAGGTCTCTGTACAAATATTTTCTTTATTGCACTTGCTGTTGGTTTGAATTCAGATTAAACATTTGCTTACATTTACACAAACATATTTTAGACTAGTCTGTAGTGACTGCTCTTAATACTGCTCCTCATAGGTTTACTGGAGTTTAGTTTAGTTTATATTGAGTTTAGTTTAGGTTAGTTTGAGTTTAGTTCAGTTTAGTTCAGTTTGAGTTTAGTTTAGTATAGTTAAGTTTAGTTTTGGTTTATCTTAGTTTAGTTTCAGTTCAGTTTAGTTTACTTGGAGTTTAGTTTAGTTTAGTTTAGATTGAGTATAGTCTTGTTATGTTTATTTTAGTTTGGTTTAATTGAATTTAGTTTGAGTTTAAGTTTAGTGTTCTTTAAATGTCCCATGTCATGCTTTTCCGGTTATCACCCGTCCCCTTGTGTGTTATGAATGTTTTTTCTGCATGTGAACGGTCTGCAGAGTCACAAACCCTCAAAGTACACCCTGTAGCGAGTAAAACTCTAACACAGAGAAGACCTGTCTATGCTGCCCCAGAACGCCTCCTTGGAGATTTCTCTTTTTCAATTTTTTTTCTTCCGGGAACCAAGTGACGTAACGACGATCCAAATGGACCAATTGGTCCAAATGTTTGTCATGCTGGTTGCTAACGCCATTGTAACACATAATCACTGATGTTCCGCTGTAACGGTGGTGGACTCATCAGAACAGAGTGGGCGAGCTGACCAATCAGAGCACAGTGGGCTCACAGGGAGAGGGGGGGGGCAGGAGCTCCAACAAGCCGTGTAGGACAGAGAGTGAATACACACTCTATACAGAGATGCTGTTTGAGAAACCAATGTGAGTTTGGAACATTGAACAGTATAAATCTATTCTAGTAGACCTCAACAATGGAATCATGATCAGTAGAAATGGCCATGACATGGGACCTTTAAGTTTTGTTTGCTTCTGTTCAGTTTCGTGAGATGAGTAAAGTTTAGTTCTGCTTATCTAGCTAAGTAGTTAGTCTAGTTATGATTAGTTCGATTTAGTTCAGTTTTGTTTTGTTATACCTAGATAGTTTAATTCAGTTTAGTCTAGTTATGTTTAGTTACATTCAGTTCAGTTTATTTTACCTTTGTTCTGTTTTGTTTGGTTTAGTTTGCTGTGAGTCGGAATCGATATCTAGCATGTGCAAGTCCCGCATCGCATCTTGTTACGTTACATTACACCATACTTCGTTTAGGCACTACAATGTTAGGCAGTCCCTTTAATGGCCCATTTTACAACACTACATAGGCATATACAAGGTCATTCTAACTTAGAATATGTGTTTAGTTTATGGTTTAGTTTCTTGCTAATGTCACAAATACACTTTTCTGTCTCCTCAGTCGATACTCAAGAAGAGTGTGACCCTGCAGCACACTCCATCAGCTGTTTACCACTACAGTGAAGCTGGAGCAGAAAATGTCCAGCACAACAAAGTTAACGCCATTTTCCAAGCTGCCAAAAAGGATCTGCTCCATGTCATCCAACTACAGGTAGGGGACAGACTTTATTCACTGTAAGATTATTCAGCACACAAAATCCACAATTGTTTCAAAAATGGAAATGTAAAATTAAAAGTGAAAGACTGATAAAAATGTTACTGTTTCTAAGAAGACATATCCCTGTTTTTGTGTTTGTTTTTGATCAGGACCCCCATCTTTTGGAGGGGAGAGTTAATCTTCGGCAAGTCAAAGCCGGCACTGTGGTGGCTCACCAGGGAGACCAGGTCAGTGTGAAGGACCGACGGACAGAGACTCTTTGTGGAACACACACTTCATCAAAGAACAAAGTGCAAGTGTATCTTTAACAAATAATGTCCAAGTTTTCCACACAGAGACAAGGCTATGATTATTTAATATTTAACTGCTTAAGGATGTCTTTTATTCCTTTATGGGCATTATTTCCCTCTATAAGCAACAACATCCCACTTTGACAACGCTTCTGATTTGTCCACTTGAGTGTTAATTTGTTTTGATTTCCGATTCTTAGCCCATCTGAAATAATCTGGTATACTTACAGAGCTAAAGATAAAATACAGTACCGGTCAAAAGTTTGGACACACCTTCTCATTCGAAGGTTTTTATTTATTTTAAAATTATTTTCTAGATGGGAGATTAATACTGAAGACATCACAACTATAAAATAATACATATGGAATTATCTAGTAAACAGAAAAGTGTTAAACAATCCAGAATATGATTTATATTTTAGATTCTTCAGAGTAGCCCCCTTTTGCCTTGATGATTGCTTTGCATACTCTTGGCTTCTCTCAGTAATTTTCATGAGGTCGTCTCCTAGAATGTATTTCCAACAGTCTTGAAGGACTTCCCAGAGGTGCTGAGCACTTGTTGGCTGCTTTTCCTTCACTCTGCGGTCCAACTAATCCCAAACCATCTCAATTGGGTTGAGGTATGGTGATTGTGGAGGCCAGGTCATCTGACGCAGCACTCCATCACTTTTCTTCTTGGTCAAATAGCCCTTACATAGCTTGGAGGTGTGTTTGGGGTCATTGTTTTGTTCAAAAACAAATGATGGTCCCACTAAGAGCAAACCAGATGGCGCTGCAGAATGCTTCGGTAGCCATGCTGATTAAGTGTGCCTTGAATTTTGAATAAATCACCAACAGTGTCCCCAGCAAAGCCCCCCCACACCATCACACTTCCTCCTCGATGCTTCACGGTGGGAACCACACATGCAGAAACCATCCGCTCACCTTCTCTGTGTCTCACAAAGACATGGAGGTTGGAACCAAAAATCTCAAATTTGGACTAATCAGACCAAAGTACAGTTTACACTGGTTTAATGTTGAGTCCTTGTGTTTCTTGGCCCAAACAATTCTCTTCTTCTTGTTGTTCATCCTCAGTAGTGGCTTCTTTGCAGTAATTGGACCATGAAGGCCTGATTCACGCAGTCTCCTCTGAACAGTGGATGTTGAGATTTGTCTGCTACTTGAGCTCTGTGATCATTTATGTGGGCTCTAATCTGAGGTGCTTTAATTTGTGCTTTCTGAGGCTGGTAACTGTGATGTATTTATCCTCTGCAGCAGAGGTAACTCTTGCTCTTCCTTTCCCGGGGGTCCTCATGAGAGCCAGTCTCATCATAGCGTTTGATGGTTTTTGCGACTGCACTTGAGGAAACATTCAAAGTTCTTGACATTTTCCGGATCAACTGGCCTTCATTTCTTAAAGTGATGATGGACGGTCGTTTCTCTTTACTGAGTTGAGTCGTTCTTGCCATAATATGGATTACAACAGTAGTCATAGGGCTTTCCACTGTGCACTAACTCTACCTCTGCTCAACACAACTGATGGTCTCAAACACATTCAGAAGGCAAGTAATTCCACACATTGACTCTTGACAAGGCACACGTGTTCATTGAAAACCATTCCAGGAGACAACCTCATGAAGCTGACTGAGAGAAGCCAAGAGTGTGCAAAGCCGTCATCAAGGCAAAAGGGGGAATTAATAATAATGGAATTAACTGTCCAGGCAGAACAGGGCCCTGAGCAATTTGCTTCCCTAGGCAAGATTTTAGCTGGCGCCCCCCCCCCCCCCCCCACAATGCAGACACTCAATGTGACTCGCGCATGACTACAAAACAGAAAGATATGGACACAAGATGTGTGCAAATGTATTTAGTATCCTAGGGGGGGGTCCTCACTTCCTCTAGGGGGGTCCGGGGGCATGCTCCCCCGGGAAGATTTTTTTTTTAAATATTGAAGTTGAAAGCATCAATCTGGTGCACTTTGAGAGCAACATGAAGAGATCTATGGATACTTCTCTCAACAGCCATATGAAACAGAACTGTAAACAGATGTACTTTTTCTTTATGGTATTTTACAAATTACTCCCCTTTTAAATAGTATTTTTGTTTATTAATAACAACTTTTTTTTGCTGTCATAGTATTTTATACATCTATTCTCTTGTTTTTTTATAACTATAATGATCATACAAAGGTGTGCCTTTACCTCACTGAGATGAGGTTATCAAAGCCGCTCAGTCTTTCAGGAGAGAGCTCTCTAAAGCTCTCCCCCCGCGGCCGCTTACACAGTAAATTCCAATGTTAATAAAAGCACACAGAAGCTGTATATACGTTTTTTGGGAGTTTGATTTATTTAAAATTAACACAAATACAAAATTAAAACCTATAATTGCACACTAAAACCATCCTTTCAAAAAAAGAACTATTGCACATAAACCTCTGGGTTTTATTGGGGCTGGGGCAGTTCAACTTGATGCTGGGGGGGGGGGGGGGGGGGGGGGGGTATGCAATAGTTTATGGGCGAAAATGTGTTGTTATGAATAAAAAAAAATAAAAAAAATTGTATTTCTAACTTTTTCCCCCCCAATTTTTGGCGCCCCCGATGGGTTGATGCGCTCTTAACATTCGCCTATACTGCCTATGCCAAGGTCCGGCCCTGAGGCAGAATATTCTTTCTTCCATTTATTGTAGTATTTCCAATAATATACATAGAACACCTTTCTTCCTTTGTGGCAATTCTGTGTGTCACTATGGGATGCGCTTCCCCGCGTATACCTCAGAAGCATCGATCTAATCACGCCAATCCTGATTGGCTGGTGATCTTGACCACAACGTCAGGGAATCGTCAGGGAATCCAAACACCCTGCTACAACGCAGCGTCATTCAAACACCTCTTAGCCTGGCTAGCTTAACTGTCCATAGACTGAACCACTTCAAGCTAACTTTCGGTCGCGGGACGCTTGCCAGCTACACTTGCTTTGAGCCTCCGCTCTTCACCATAGACTGGAGCATATCTGGATATTAGCACACCAGCTAATACTCGATTCTGTTTTTAACGCTAAGGTTTTGTTTTTTTTCTGAATATTTACACACCAGTTATTGTTCCGAACCTCCAGCCAGCAACCGGGACAAGGAGGAAGCTGCTGCGGAAGCCGAGCCGTGTGCTGAGGCTAGCAGGGGCTCCCAGTTGGACCTCACCATGGACCCGCCCGTGGAGGACGTCTTGGAGTGGGACTATATGGACGTTGACGAGGAATCATCGGAGTTTCTCATATCAGACGAGGACGACGTTTTCGTCCCATCTGCTCAGGCTGCCAAGTCTGTGTCTGTCCCTCCGGACGAAAGCATACCAGCTTCACCCCATCTCAGCATGGATTTGCAAGCCGTGTGCCAATGCGCTGCATCCAGGCTTGACATCCCCTAGCCTGAAGTAGCAAAGGAGACCACCAGATCTCACTACGAAGGGAATAAATTGCCTCAGGCTGAGAGGACGGCAAAACAGCTACTTCCAGTCAGTGCTTGAATTGGAATGAAAAAGGTGCCAGTACTCTAAAATCAGCAACTTTTTCAAGTCAATTTTATATATACAGCCCACAAACAAGAATTTGGCTACTATAATGCTGGTGGGTTTGTCTCTTTACTACTGTATATTTTAGAAAGGTTCACTGTACTTAACATTTTTTATGATAGGCAGCGGATATGGCTAAAGCTCAGTAAGGTCAATATTAACTGAAAATATAGCAATCAAAGTCTAGATCTTCTGCTGAAGACACATGAAGCAGAGACCTTTCAGGTGAGAGCCCCTCTGGTGGTGTTCAACATTAATGACAAGGAAACAAAGCTCTGGTCAGAAGCATTTTTTATAAAAAGCTTTAACAAAATTAAGTATTTCTGTACATTTTGAATGCAATCTAACTTTCCAACTCAGAAAACGAAAAACGAAAAAGTGCCAAAAGTCTTCTCACATTGCTGAGCTGCTTTGAAATATACTTCACCACTGAAGAATACAAATATGTATAAAGTAAACTATGATGCAATCTAACTTTCCAACTCAGAAAAATGATAAAGAGCATGAACAAAGAACATGTAAAAACAAATGCAAAATTTTCACAATCTAAAATGAGAAACTGTAACTGCAAGTAACAAAGTCTGAGCCATGGTAAAGAGTTACATTGAACACCAAGCTGATCAGATAACTCCCTGGTTGGTCTGAAGTCCTTCTATCTCCAGGATCTGTACAAATCGGCACATTATGCCAAAAGTCTTCTCACTGGGTGAGCTGCTTTGCAATATACTTCACATTGTTAGAAAAGGCTCCAGAAGGCCTTGGGGACATCAGTATCAGGGGCTGGAGCTGGACAGGCTCTTTCATCAGCACTTCTCCTTCCCTTTGCCAGCCAGGACCTCACATACTGTTCCGGATTGAACTGTCCTAGTGATGGTCCATTACATTTAATGAAAACCAGGCTGGACAGTCGGCTGACAGAGAGAGCATTCCTTTTTGCAGTAAGGATATCGTTCATGCAGCTGAATGCCCGCTCACACTCACTAGTGGAGACAGCGATGGTTCGGACTGCTTTCAGTAGAGGCTCCATGGCAGCAGGTGTACGGGATGCCCTGGTTTCCTTGTATTCGCGAAAGCCCTGAACAGTCTCTCTTCTGTCCACTTTCAGCACTTCGCACAAACGTAGCACCTCTACGTCCCCATACTGTACGTCTAACTCCTCTTCAGGCCAACTTCCAGGATGGATAACTTTCATGTCCTGGATTAGCTGATTGTCCCGGGCCTCCCGGCCATGTAATGGGATTTCTCTTGTGCTGACATGAGAGGAGGTTGTGGAAGTCATTCTGTGTCTCAGATTCTCTACCATACTGCGGAAAAACTGACCTGCATGAATCTGTACAAGCCTGCCATTCTCACGCAGGGCAACACCCTTGAAGGACTTCTCAGCTAGAGCTGTATGAACTGTAGTCATGTGTAGGCCAGGCATGATGACCATGGATTCAAAAACTCGTATTTCTCGAGTTAAGAGCCTATCTGCTGTAGGCAGTGTCATCTCTCTTTTTTGGAGTTGCCGAGAGAGGTCGCTGAGCTCTGTGAGCGCATCGTACATCAGTCCCAGATTGCTGACAAACGTTGCAGATGTGAGCACATCATCCAGGCCCTTGTACTTTGCTCTGTCTCTGGAATCCCTGCTCGTGTCGTTTGCAGCATTTGTGAAGTGATCATGAAGCACTCGGTAGTTTTCCCAGACTGCTCTGACGCTCCTTTCACTTGAAGCCACCCAGCGGATGGACAAAACACGCCCTATCACCAGGAGACGCTGTCCGACTGCTTGCGCACACTGCGCTAACTGCCTCTGATTTTTGGGGGAGGCATGGAACAAGGAATAGAGTTTGTCAAAAAAGATCTGGAAATGATTGAGCCCTGAGACCTCCTTGACCATATCCCCAACTGCCAGCTCTAGACGATGATTGGAGCAGTGCCACACAAACAGGCTTGGGAATGTACTACACAACTGAGTAGCAACGCCTGTTCTCTTCCCTAGCATGACTGAAGCCCCATCCCATGCAAAAGAAATGAAACACTGACCTAAAAAGTCCTCGTTAAAATCTCTTCCAAGACACTCCATTAACGCCTTTGTGATGTCATCAGCCGTTGTTCCATCCAACTCGATCAGCTCCCAAAAAAACGTTTCGGGCTCAGCATCAGCTAATGCTGAGCGTAGACACACAACAAGCACCGTTTTAACCACTAATAGTGGTAGATTCATCGACCAAAACACAGAGTTTTCTTTGGTTTCTGTAATGTCTTTTGCCATTTTTTTCTTCAGCTCATGAGCTATGTGGTCGATGATTTCGCCACAGGTTTTATTGGAGTGCAAAACCCTGCCCACGTTCAGGCCCATTCAGTTTCTGTACATTCAAATCAATTGGCATGTCTGTGAATGGCCGGCTATGTTTGCCAATTTTATATGCCGTTCGAAAAACTCTGATAGTGGTGTCTAATTCAGATGTATGCATAGACTGCACTTGATGTTGAATAGTTTCACGTGAAGCAGATGTAAGGATGTCAGCAGCTTTTACATGGGCTTGTGATTCTTTATGTTCTTTGATTTTTTTTTCTCAGGCTAGCTTGTTGTTTGCCCTTGTCAACACCGAAATGAGACACTGCACACTCACCCCATTCAGTTGACAGTTTCAGTCCTTGTCCAGTGTGTATTCCCAAAGATTTGACATCTCTGCATATCCGACATCCTAGCTTCTTATCTTTAAGAAGGAGCCATGCATTGGTCTTGCAAAAATATTGCACCTGGTCCGTTGTCCAGCAGTCAGGTGCATCGCTTTGCCCGGTGTTGGTGGTGGCAGTTGAGCCAGCAGCAGCTAACGTTAGAGGCTCTGGAGGAGGCGGCGGAGCTAGTGCTAATGCTAATGCACTAGAACTTGGAGCAGGAGGATCAACCAAAGAAAGCTCCCCATCAGACACAATTTCCAACACAGGCACAGCATTCTCTGTATTTGAAGTTTCTTCCGGCGACAACCGCTGTCTTTTTGCACTTTTATTAATCCACGCTAACATTTTAGAAATGCTAATTTGTGACGTGACTTGCTTTCCTTCTCTCGGGGGCGTGCCTGCTCTGTTCTATCACTCTACATAGCCACCCACTGGGTGGGAGTTGCACTGCATAAACACAACACACGTGCATCTAGGTATGTAAATTGTAAAGCATTAAAACATGGTTTTACTAACAGTTTTCAGTATGTTGTTACTACTTCGGCATTATTATTATTATTATTATTTTTAAAAACGTGTATTACTATTAAATCACGGTCAAATAGGTTAATTTTGACATAGTCGTTTCCACCACAGTATTTACATGGAGAAGATAAGCCCCGCCCCCTCTCCAGCACGTTCTGTTTGAATGACAGGAGTAAACAGCTGACAGCCCGCTGTGAAACTCCAGTGGTTAGAGCGATGAGAATGTCCGTTCGGCACCTCATGACGCATCTACTGAGTACCCGGGCGGCTGTATATATATATATGGATGTATAATAAGAACGGCGGGAGAGTGTTGAGTACTGGCACGGTGCATGAGTACCGGAGTACCGCCAGCATGCCGGTACTGAGCAAGAAGTGCCGGTACTCCATGGGTCAGAACCAGAAGTGCCGGTACTGCGTACCGGTGAGTACCGGCCCAATTCCAGCACTGCTTCCAGTTTTTCTGGAGCTATTGGACGAGGGGTCTGTCTCGTGGAGGGACCACCCGTTCAGCAGTAAGTCCCGATACAATGTGTTGTTGCTGGCTCTGGCATCCGCCAAGCGAGTCAGTGACATTCATGCGCTCTCTGCGCATCCTTCATGCACTCAGTTTGCCCTGGGGCAAGCAAGATCGTTGCTGAAACCTAACCCTGCTTTTGTGCCTAAGGTGGTTGGCTCATGCTCCCCCGTTGACCTTGCGGCATTTTCTTCAACGTTATATTCTTCTGAAGAACAGCGGTCTAATTTGCTGTGTCCAGTTTGTGCCCTGTTGAGTATTGGTGTTTTTTTTCTCGAAATAAGCATGTTTGGCAATAGGGGAGTCTCCATATCCCATAGTGAGACATCGAAGCGAATGTTATGAATGAGAACTATAGGTTACTAGCGTAACCCCGGTTCTCAGAGTAAGATGTGTGAGATGGCGTAATGAAATTGATGCTTCTGAGGTATACGCGGGGAGGCACATCCCATAGTGAGACATCTCACTCATGTTACTCTGAGAACCGGGGTTACGCTAGTAACCTATAGTTTCTCCTGGTAAAAAACAAGGTGCCCAACTAACCCGGTGCCAAAAACCTCCTTCAAAATAAAAGCATAAAGAATGACTTCAACTAAAAATAATTAAGATAAATAATGATTAATTTACCATAACAAAAACAGCTAGAAAATACATTTTTAATTATAAAATAACATAAACCAATATATAGCTCCAGCACTACCTGTATTTATACAAACATGTATCATCAATCAATCAATCAATGTTTATTTATATAGCCCAATATCACAAATGTTACATTTGTCTCAGTGGACTTCACAGTTTGTACAGAATATCAGTATGACAATACGACACCCTCTGTCCTTAGACCCTCACATCGTACAAGGAAAAACTTCCAGAGAAAACCCACAGTTTAAAGGGAAAAATGGGAGAAACCTCAGGGAGAGCAACAGAGGAGGGATCCCTCTCCCAGGACGGACAGACGTGCAATAGATGCCGTGTGTAAATTGAAAAGATAATACATTTGCAACATAGGTAGACCAAATGTTTGGAAATGTGTGTATAATAGGAAGATGAATCCACGAGGATATCCATCCAGGACATGTGGATGTATCCAGGTAAAGAACATTTCTAGCTTCTCCACCTCTCTTCCAGGATGCAAGTGTGGCGTTTATCATCTCGGGGGCGCTCCATGTGTACCAGCGTATGATAGACCGCGAGGAGGAGTCCCTGCTGTTTGTCTCCCACCCGGGAGAGATGGTGGGTCACCTGGCCGTCCTCACGGGGGAGCCCCTCATCTTCACCGTCCGAGCTCACAGAGACTGCACCTTCCTCTCCATATCGAAGGCCCACTTCTATGAGTAAGATCACGCTTTTCTACTACGCTGCTACGGACAGTTAATAGCACTACTGTATTTATTTGTACTGTTCTAATATATTTAGATTCATCCATTTAGAAGTCTACTAGACTAGGCATACCAACATGACTGTTCTTTTTAATATATTTACTGTTTTATTTATACCTTTTAATGTGTGTATGAGTATGCACCGAAAAACTGAAACGTTGACTTTAGTTAAATGTATTATGTCAACACATTTCACAAAACTGTATGAAGTTCGTTGAAAGCAATCATATTGAGTTCAAATACAAATATTATGTTCAAATTAATATTATTGCTTTCAACTAACCTAATACAGTGATGTGGAATTAGTTAACCTGTTGAGCCCGATTGAGATGCAACATCTTGCAAGAAACAGCGTCTCAGGGCTTCTTAACATTTAACAACCTATTAATGATGCATACCCACTTAACAGGAAGAAACTCAGCTAACTGACGATATTAACAATTTTTACCTAAACGAAACACAATTCCAACACTAAGCGTCTAAACCAGGGGTGGGGAACCTTTTTCCTCTCAAGGGCCATTTCAATTTTTACAACATCCTCCGAGGGCCGTACAAATTATTGAACTCAACCTTTGCTAAAAAATAAATATGGAAGTCAGCTTATGTCCTGCCACTACTAAAAGGAGGGGAGGCCACCTTATTAAACAATTATAGACCCATCTCCAAATGTTCAGTTCTGGCCAAGGTTCTTGAAAGCCTAGTGAGTGAGCAGGTAAAGGTGTTTTTATGTAACAATGACATCCTGTCTAAACTAGGGATGCCAGTGATTATTCGATTATTCGAATATTCGTTACAGTCTCCATAATCGAATATTATTTTTAAAAATCGATTTTATTTATATATGTTTTTATTATTATTTATGTTTTATTTTTTATTTTTCTGGCTTAGTTTCAACCAAAATATAGACTAATGCTAATAATAGTAATAGTATTAATAATTGTAAATGGCCATTGGTCACACCACCAGTTTGTTTGACTGTAAACTTGGAGGAAGCCTGCGTGCAGAGCAGACTGCTGCTGCAGCACGCTACACACCGCCCCCGCCCCCACCCCCCCTCTCCCTCACACGTGCGACTAAAGATGAACAAAGCGGCAGGTAAAAAGAGTTCCTCCTCGTGGAACTACTTCGAACTTACAAGTCCAAAGGAAGTTAAATGCAAGCTCTGCGAAAAGACGTTGGTCTATCACAGCTCAACCTCAACAATGCGTTCGCATTTGAGTACGAAGCACGCCAAAGAGAGAAAGACGCAGCACAGCCGGCCATTACCAACTTCACTTCAAGGCCACGTCGTTGTGATGATATGCGTGCAGGTGAAATAACTGCACTAATCACCAATATGATAGTGAAGGACATGCTGCCAATACGTTTCGTGGAAGGAGGGGGTTTCCTTAAGCTTATGGCAAGTGTGGAACCAGAGTACAGGGTCCCGGGCCGTACTACAATGACCAAACGTATAGAAAAGCTGTACAAAGATAAGGCAGAAGATCTGCGCAGAAGCTTGTCAACTGTCTCAAAGGTGTCGATAACCAACGACGGGTGGACAGCACTCACAACAGAATCGCACGTTACCATAACCTGCCATTACATCGACAGTGAATGGGAGATGAAGAGTGCGGTTCTACAGACCCGTGCAACGCCCGAACGGCACACGGCAGAGAATTTAGCCGAGGGGCTCCGCACACACAATAGGCTATTTATTGAATGTATTTCAATGCTGCTATTATTAATACAGGCTACATGATGGTGGTTTATTTTTTGTTATTTTCTAAAGTGCCTGCCATTGCCTATATTTGAAGATGCGCGATGCACGCACAATTTATTTATTGCAATGCTGCTATTATTAATAATACAGGCTACAGCCTGTATTAATAATAGCATTGCAATAAATATTATTATAGTAATTTATTTATTGCAATGCTATTATTAATACAGGCTGTAACCTGTATTATTAATAATAGCAGCATTGCAATAAATAAATCGAATAATCGAATAATCGATTATTATTCGCCAGGGCTGCCGAATAATCGATTTTGATCATGGTCAGTTTCTGGCAACCCTAGTCTAAACATCAGTCAGGCTTCAGAAAGCAACATAGCACCATCACTGCCACAATGAAAGTGGTGAATGATATTACGAGTATTTTAGATAATAAGCAGAGTTGTGCAGCTCTATTTAATGACCTTTCCAAAGCTTTTGATACCGTCGATCATCACATCTTGAAGCAGAGGATAGTCAGTATTGGCTTATCCTGCCATGCAGTGGGGTGGTTTGTGAACTACCTCTGTTACCTCATTCACACCAACGCAACTCCGGTTCAAGCTCCGTGCTAGAGCTTTTCAGGTTCTTCGGTTTAGCTCTGGCTCTTTTCACACCGCCCAGAGTCCGACTGGTGCTGCGTCATTGCGTCATCGTTTGCGTCATGACGTAACCATTTGCATGCCTGCTTCATATAGCCAAACCGCGCGGAAACCCCTCACAGCTGACACCGACAACAACAACAATGGCCGATTGTGCTCCAGCTTCCTCTGTAGCTCTTCGGAAGACCAGATTCCCAGTAGGTAGCTGGTCTCAGTGGACCACTGCTGCTTGTTAAGTTTCTCCATCGTTGTGTACAAACTGGATAAAATGCCGGCTTTTTGTTGTTGTTCAGGAGTTGATCCCGCTCCTGCCCCCGCCTCCGCCTCGACGTAAGCGTGATGTATGCGGTGCTTTTGCTCTAGCCGGACAATTTTTTGGTGCTTGAAACGAACCGGATTCCGGAGCTAAGAGGCTGCTCCGCTGCAGTGTGAACAGGAAAACCTGGTGCTTTTCAAGCTCCAGCTCCGAACCGGCCCTGAAACACCGTTGGTGTGAATGAGCTATCTGAAAGGTCCCAATGTGTTCACTTTGATGGGCTGTCTTCTGAATGGTTAAACATCACTAATCGTGTACCACAAGGTTCAGTTTTAGGTCCGCTATTATTCTCTATCTATATTAATAGTTTAGATGAAAATGTCGAAGGAGCAACCTTAAATTTTTATGCGGACGATACCGTTATGTACTGTGCAGGTCCCTCGATTAACGAGGCTGTTGTTAAATTACAGGCTGTTTTTAACATTATTCAGGCTCAGCTCTCTGAGCTTAAGCGTCTTTTAAATGTGGATAAAACCAAGGTAATGCTCTTTTCTAAAGCTAAAGCTAAAAATACACCGGAGACTGCTTTGGATATTGTAACTACGCAAGGAATACAACTTGAAGTGGTTGCCTGTTACAAATACTTGGGTATCTGGCTTGATGACTGCCTCACTTTTAAATTTCATGTAAATAACCTGCTTAAAAAGCTGAGGGTTAGGCTAGGTTTCTTTTACAGAAATAAGTCCTGTTTCTCACTTGAGGCCAATTCCCAATCTGGTACCACTCAGAGTTCCCGTTAGAATATTTTTTCGCTGGTCAACATGTCCGTTAAAGTTTAAATCTTCCGGACAAAATGAGAAAAGTGCCGGTCAAAGGTCTTCTTTGTTATTTATTGAGCTTTAAAACAAATTGATATGATTCAATATTAAACTAATTATAGTAGATTAACGACATTATTCAAAAGTGAACAGTAATTTACAATAACACGGGAATAATAAACGGAGCGCTCTCTCCCTCTCCTGACAGCCCGTCAGTATCATGCAGCTCGCGGATCAGTAATGAGTGATCCGACAGTAAAACTAAACATATCTATAACTAGTTTAGGTAGTTTGAGAGGTCATTAAAATAGCTACGTGTGATATTCTAACCTGAAGTGTGTGTTTTGTTCGCTCACCGCTGATCATGCAGAGCTGCGTGTCGACTCGTCAGCAGCAGCTGATCTCTCTCCCGTCAGATTAGACTTCACTCGCGTTTATATCCATATCGATCAGATCCAGCTAGTTCTAGCTAATGATATGACTACCTGCTTATTAAAAGACACCTAAACAATAAGTGTCGCTATGCAACCGGGTGAGGCCACAAAGTATAGCGCAGCATTATGCATTTGTTTACATGCCCACCGGAACCCCGAGGCATTACCAACAGATCAACGCACAATCAACCCATACAGGAAATCTCTTTCTCCACATGAAGTGTTAGACATTAGAATTGACTATTCTTGTCTGTCACATACTCTTTTGTCTGTCACATAAATGGTGCAAGTTGCGCAACTGATGTGGTATTGCGCTAAGCGGAAATTATTTTGAACGGACACTTTGACCGGAGAGATTTAGATTTGCCGGTCTTCAGCATATTTTACCGGTCGTAGTCCGGTAATTACCGGCTAACGGGAACTCTGGTACCACTACATGTTTTTAAAGCTCAGTTGGATGCTACACAATCAGATGCTGTTGGTACCTGTACATGTGTATAAATATGTAAATTGTAATCCCTGTACATTTTGCTGTATGATGTCCTTCTGTTGTTCTGTTGTTTATGTTTTTATCTCTTCATGTGGAACCTACTGCTGCAGGTCTCCCTTGAAAAAGAGATCATTGATCTCAATGGGATTTCACCTGGATAAATAAAGGTTTTGAATTGCACGTGCACGGTTGTGGCATGACCACCAAAACAGAAATATATGGACACAAGATGTGAAGTTAAAAGCATCAATCTGGTGCACTTTGAGAGCTATCTATGGATATATCTCTCAACACCCATATGTAACAGAACTGTAAGCAGATTTTCTTTTTCTTTATGGATATTTTACAAATCACTCCCCTTTCAAACTGTATTCTTGTTTATTAATAACAACTTTTTTTTTACTATCATATAGTATTTTATACCCGTTTATATTTATATATATATATATGTGATTGGTTTTTGGTCGCGCGCCAGACAGGCCCACCGGCAAGCTTCAACGCGACGGAACCGTGTGTACGATACTGGTTCAGCGAGCTGCATGAGATACTGACCGGCTGTCAGGAGAGAGAGAGAGGGACAGAGGGAAAGAGAGGCTCCGT